CGGTTTTCTTTTCGGTTCATTTTTCAACTCATTTTCTATCTTGCTGATATCACAAGGGGCTGTGATGCTGTTTCCATTACTGACCAGTCTATCATTGATCTGAAATGCACAATTTTTAGGTCAAAGAAGTAATCATACAAATTATATACAGTATCTGTACTCTATGTTGTTTCCATTACTGACCAGTCTATCATTGATCTGAAATGCACAATTTTTAGGTCAAAGAAGTAATCATACAAATTATATACAGTATCTGTACTCTATGTTGTTTCCATTACTGACCAGTCTATCATTGATCTGAAATGCAAAATTTTTAGGTCAAAGAAGTAATCATACAAATTATATACAGTATCTGTACTCTATGTTGTTTCCATTACTGACCAGTCTATCATTGATCCAGGGGTGCCCATCCCCCCCTAGACTCATGACGCACCCCCCCCCCCCCAAATTGAGCAACAGCCCCCCCCCACCATAAATGATGTACACAACGAATGAGAAACATTATTCCCCCGCCCAGCACTATTTGTAAAACTTTAAAAGAAGTTTTATACATTTTTTTGGACATTCAAATTCAAACCAAGTTAATCTATACAAATAAAGTTATAGTTTTGTCTGTAAATTGCTCAAAATTATACATATTTTGTGTTATTTTTACGTTTTATACATTGAAGAAGTTGAAACATGTCTTATCTCAATTTATGTCCGTCTTCCACGGCCCAGAAGGCATTTTACGCAGCCTACTCTAAAGGAAACTAGAGTACCGATTATGATTCTAATGGTTTAATTGTTATTCACAGGATTGGCGAGAGTGTCCTTATAGCCATTAAAATATGGCCTCATTATTTTGGAAATAAAATAACGGACGATCAAAAACCCAATTTTGTGTGATTTTTCTAGTTTATTTTCTCATGTTTACTACATACGTCTATGAAATACTAATAATAAGATGTCATAAATGAAACTATGAACAGCTGTTTTGATAAAGATTCCTTTTTCTAGCTGTCACTGATTACATATATGATGTTTACGAATACTTTGTAGGCCCTAACCATTTCCGATCACGTTTGTAAGCAAAACCGAAACCAAGTGAGATTAATAACCGTGTGGCTTTGGCTTACATAACGGGTTTGATTTATCACGGGTATTAATATGTAACTGTAAATTAAATTAAATTACTAGCCATCATCCAGGTTGGGGACCGGAGATTCTGTGTGTATCAAGTTTTACTTGAATTTTGATTACCGAGAAAAGACCGTGAATCAGTGTAGTACTTGTACTACAGGGCTGGAAAACTTATCTTTCTATATAAATACAACAGTTTATAAGTCACCTCAATTTAAGGAATTTTTTATTGCCAGAATATCCATAGCATTCGTAACCTCTGCTTAACGAATTGTCAGCGTCTTTCTCTTGATATAACGACCCCCTCTCCCTCCCTTTGGGAACATCACAGCTCCTTTGATGAAAATGAAATGGAAACAAGAAACAACGCTTGCGCCAACAATCGTCTGCTCCGTTTTAGACTTCTGTCTGCTGTGCGCTATGTTACAACAGATTTCAGATACTGTACAACAGCTGGGGAATGATGACAATATAATTCTTAGTAAACTGTGATTGAATGATTATGGTAACTTTAGTTAGGCTGTGATTGGCCAATGAGTAGGCCTAAATATGGCGATTTGTAGAATTAGTGTATGAATTGAAGAGAAGAGAAAAACAAAGAAAAAGAATAACAAGATTGTTCTCGTTACATGCTTTTTTAAGAGTGTTTTAGTTATCTCTAAATATAATTTTACACTTTTTTATTAGGCCTACTTATCTATCAATTCCTATGCTGTGATACAGCACCTCGGTAGCCTATATGTCCATCATGAGCAGTAGGTACCTTATAACACTTTCTAAAGGTTCCTTTAATATTAACGCTATTTATAGCAATGCAGTGTTTGGCTAGTGATTAGTTGAGTTTAGTTAGCTATAATTTTAAACGTTGCCGTTTGTACAACTGAACCAAGATAAATGATTTGAAATTTAAATAATAATGTTATTGCACAATAATAATGATTGTGCAGTATTGAATTTCGTGTATAAGAATGCAAATCGTGACGTTAATGGCTGTTTACAGCGTTTTAATGGGTTTGTCATCATTCAGTTTTTATAATATATTGGATTAACCGTATTTTTCATTACTCCCCCTCCCTAATAACTCAGATAATCGAGTATCTACACAATAGTGCAAAGTATTGTAGCCTAATGCTACTTAATTGTATTTTAACGAACTTTATGTCAACAAAGTGTTCTGTGCTGAGTCGCGGTGTGGCTGGACGTGTCTGTACCACGCGTTATCTTTTATCTATCACAGCAGTTTAGCCATCCCGTGCGCTCCCTCTTAGATCTCACGTCTTGCTAATCTTGAATAATCACTTTCTACACGAATCCTAAACCATCCTAAAATCCTATTTTAACTAATTGAATTCAATAATATAACTGTTGTCATTAATTAATCCACTTTCTATCTGGCGACTTCGTAATATATTTTGGATTGTTGTCACGTTGAACACTGTTGCAATTAGCTTTAGCCACCCCCCCCCCCATTTGAATTTTTGAGCCCCCCCCAAGAATTTCAATGACGCAGTCTGCGTCACAGCCCCCCCTTGTGGGCACCCCTGATTGATCTGAAATGCACAATTTTTAGGTCAAAGAAGTAATCATACAAATTATATAGCCTACAGTATCTGTACTCTATGTTGTTTCCATTACTGACCAGTCTATCATTGATCTGAAATGCACAATTTTTAGGTCAAAGAAGTAATCATACAAATTATATACAGTATCTGTACTCTATGTTGTTTCCATTACTGACCAGTCTATCATTGATCTGAAATGCACAATTTTTAGGTCAAAGAAGTAATCATACAAATTATATACAGTATCTGTACTCTATGTTGTTTCCATTACTGACCAGTCTATCATTGATCTGAAATGCACAATTTTTAGGTCAAAGAAGTAATCATACAAATTATATACAGTATCTGTACTCTATGTTGTTTCCATTACTGACCAGTCTATCATTGATCTGAAATGCACAATTTTTAGGTCAAAGAAGTAATCATACAAATTATATAGCCTACAGTATCTGTACTCTATATTGTTTCCATTACTGACCAGTCTATCATTGATCTGAAATGCACAATTTTTAGGTCAAAGAAGTAATCATACAAATTATATACAGTATCTGTACTCTATGTTGTTTCCATTACTGGCCAGTCTATCATTGATCTGAAATGCACAATTTTTAGGTCAAAGAAGTAATCATACAAATTATATAGCCTACAGTATCTGTACTCTATGTTGTTTCCATTACTGACCAGTCTATCACGGATCTGAAATGCACAATTTTTAGGTCAAAGAAGTAATCATACAAATTATATACAGTATCTGTACTCTATGTTGTTTCCATTACTGACCAGTCTATCATTGATCTGAAATGCAAAATTTTTAGGTCAAAGAAGTAATCATACAAATTATATACAGTATCTGTACTCTATGTTGTTTCCATTACTGAATAGTCTATCATTGATCTGAAATGCAAAATTTTTAGGTCAAAGAAGTAATCATACAAATTATATACAGTATCTGTACTCTATGTTGTTTCCATTATTAAAGATATGACTTCAGGAATTAAACTGAGTATTTTTGCTTACAGAAAATATTGCAAAGTTGAGTAGATTTGTAGATTAAATACATTTATATACTCGATTGCACAGCAACAAAACTTGCTACAATGCTTATGGAAGTTTTACTTAAGCATAAACAGACATAGCTCACATCATACATACCAAGTTATCACTTTTTAACTAAGTAGGCCAATAGAAAAAAATAATTATTTAAGTTTATTTAATCATTGTAAACACACACTTTTTGGGTTTCAAACTGGCATTGATTTTATTTAGGATATGTCAGTATATTTTTAGTGGAAGAATAAAAATTAAAACATTCAACTCATTATGAACTAACTGCCATAGACTAACCAACACAAATAGACTTCTCATCCCATTATAAATAATTTTGTAGCTCGTTTTTTGCCTCTAGTTCATGTCCAGGTACAGTAGACTCGCTCTTATCCGGACACCTTTTAACCGGACATCGGTTTAACCGGACAATACTCGGCGGAAATGACATCTCTTTAAACGGACAATTTTTACCAGCACATTGGTTTAACCGGACTAGATCAGCAGGAAGCGGGCAGTACTGAAACGACTGTTCTCGTGGGAAAGATTTGAGACCAGTGATCACGTGTCTAAATACAATGCTCTCCTAAATATAAGTCGAATATCACTGTAAACAGTCTGTTTTAACGAGTTTTTGGGGACGTTGCTTTAACCAGGAAACCCGTTATCCGGACTGACCTCGGTCCCGAGGAGTCCGGATAAGAGGGAGTCTACTGTACACTGATCGCTGGGTCGATGAAATTTGGTTTCTATTATTTTAGGGTTGATTTCAAGATTTGTACCTGATTGGTTATATAACTATGAGGCGAGTTATTGTTTACTATTAGATCGTTTTATTTGTATAAACGAGGTTTTAGATTACGGTACTATGTAATAACTAGAAACAAATTGTAAACAAAACACGACCTCTACTGTGTACTGGATGAAACTGTCTTCAGCTGATCCATAAGGATGAGAAATCTACTTTGGGAGTATGTTTTATCTATGTATAACTGCTTACCTCAATCTTGGGCTGATTGTTCACACTGGGTTCCTCAAGAACATTGGGTGGATTACACTGTTCTTCTTTAACAGCATTATTATCCTAAACAAAAAAAAAAATAAAACGTAAATTGGTTTGGTAAATTTTTGAGTTATGGACTTTTAACTACCATTAACTCAGATGGTCTTAGTAGCGAAGCTACACATAGAATCTCTCCCCATTCTCCACTAACCCTGTAGTTTTTCAGTTTCAAATGCATTACACCAATGAATACAAACCTTAAAAGAAGCAAAATGCTTATGGAGAATAATTATTAGACTCAAATTTTCCCACCAAAATGAGCTTTGTGCGGTGGCCGCGTTACTCTATCTCTCTCTCTCTCTCTATAAGCAGATTCTTTGTCTCACTCTCTCTCACTCTGTTAGTTGACTTAGCCTCGCCTTTGCTACCTAGCAGCTGCTGTGGGAACTATCCAAAATTAAAATAATCCCAGACTAGTAGTCCTATCAATATTTTTAAATTAATGAATTTCTTACACAAATGTTGCCTACGCTTAGATTTTTTGTACCGATATATAAAAAGATATTATTTTTTATCTCTTGAAAGATCATTCTCATTTGGACATTACAAATTATTGTAATGTATTTTACAATAATACATTACACATTATTAATATGTGTAATAATGAAAATGTGTATTAAAATGTGCAATAATAATGCACATTTTCTTGTGCATTAGCACAAGAAAATTATCTGTATGTTTTAGGGAGTCCCTATTATTGATGATGAATTCCAAGAATAAGAACTAATGAACCTTTCCCATTCATTTTGGTTGCTACATGAAACATATTATCTTACTTTAATACTTTTCAATGAAATAGCGACTATACAAAGTAAATGTATTTTAAGCCAAGTATGAATGGAGATGAGTGTAGGATGAGTGGCGCGATTTTGTAGTCTTGTTAGTGACTAAGGCCGACTTATTCCTTAGACACAGCTGTTAATTTAATAGCCCATACAGCTAATGGCAACTAAGGGACCTACAGTTTATAGTGGAATCCGAACCACATTTTCGCCTTAGTAACCTTATATACCAATTGGTCTAATTTTCAGGATAGTACTGCAGATAGTCATAGTACTCACTTGTGCGGACGTTAATCCACACCAGGGAGTATCGCATCCACAGTTCATGCCTATAAATATCCACAGTTCGCAACCTCCTATTAGCTGGATTACAGGACGATGCCACCCGTCCCAGTTTATAGTACTTTTTTAATACTTTTCAATAAAATGGCGACCATACAAAGTAGGTATTTTTTAAAGCCAAGTATGAATGGAGATGAGTGTAGGATGAGTGGCACGATCTTGTAGTCTTGTTAATAGTTGTTAGTGACTAAGGCCAACATATTCCTTAGTCACAGCTGTTAATTAATAGCCCATACAGCTAATGGCAACTAAGGGACCTACAGTTTAGTGGAATCTGAATCACATTTCTGCCTTGGTATGTACACAAATTGGTCTAATTATCAGGATAGTACTGCGGATAGTACTTTATAGTAAGAAAAGCTCGTGAGTGAAACAACCTTAAAAATAACTCCTAAGGGCTTGTTGAGCCTTTAAATTTGTGGTTGAACTTTGTGAAAGATTTACAAAAACAAAATCTAGCTCAGTTCTGCAACACAAAATAATATGTTGGCCTATGATGAAAATGGTGAAATAATTCAACTTTAAAAATCCATAAATGTATCGGATTAGTTGTATATTTTAAAACATCCTCTTTATTTAGCTTGGTTATATCTTATACTCATATCATCCAATTCTCTGTGCTGTTTTGGGTTAAAATTATTAATTTTGCGTTGATAGGCTTAGTTAGTTGTGTGATACCACAAAGATGGCGAGAGTGATAATTTTGACATATTGACCCTGGTAGTCAAATATATTAAATAATGATATATTGAGGAACAATTATTCATGCTACTTACGGAAAAAACTATTTTGACATCCATTAGAGAAGTTGTAGAACAAGACATTTTAGAAGTTTGGGTTTGTCTGTAAAAAAACAATATATATCATGATACTGTTATGGGTATTAAGACACTTCAAACTATTGAGGATTTTTTAATAATCAACTGTAGTACAAAATACCCCCGCCGCAGCAAACCTGCCGACAAAGCGAATTTCCATTTGTCTGAATTAATTTTTAATTAAATCTATTTAAAATCATTAGGTTTAATGAATACCTAGGTTTGCTGCTACAAGGAAACTTATAAAGTGCATTTTTTAGTAAAATATTAATAGCTTAGTACTAAATAAATAAATTTGCCAAGTTGGATCAAAATATATCCATAATCAAGCAAACTCCCTATTGGGAAACTCACTAAAATTTGAACGAATTGTGTTTTTGGCCTCTGGGGACATCAAAATGAAAAAGTAAATCGGTCCCTGGTCTAGGTCTTACTGTGCCACCTACGGTAATAGCTACTTCCCTATAGGGAAATTCACTAAAATGACATAGCCTAGGTAGAAGAAAATTTTGATTTGTTTTCTAAATTTGGAAAGTAGGTAACTTAAGACATTGTATTCATACAAAACATTTCAATCTGTTGAATCCTGCAAAAGTACGCAACACTTTCTGGACACAATAACACTTGTATAAGGAAAAAGTCTTTAAATGAAAGTTGTTGCCATCTACATTGTGGCAAAAGTTGTGCATAACACTGTCTGTGTACGGGCCGTGTATTTCTTGAATAGACAATAATAACTTAGCCTACATAAATTATGAAATTTTTGACACAATTGGGGTCATTGCTGTACTGGCAGAAGATACTCTGTTGATTTCACACTCTGTGATCCCATACAATCCTTTAACTGCATTTAGATCTTGTTGTGAAAACTCTGGGCCTACAGAGCGAGTGCAATAATTCTAGCATACACTCCAGGCTATTTCAAGGAAGAAGCATATAGTACCTAAGTGGTAGAGGTGGGTGTTTTTTAACATAATGAATTAACGAGGGTGTTGCCGAAAACCCTGGTAATAGATTACTGGAAGAATAACTTACTCTATTAACACTAATACCAACACCCTGCCCAGGCTGATGCTAACCGAAACCCCCGGTCTGTGAGACCTCATTTGAAAATAATGGGACCCATTTAGAAACACACAAACCGAACCCCTGGGCCTGTGAGACCCCCTTTAAAATACACTAACGCTGGGCTTCTGAGATGGGCATGTTATTAACAAACAGCCTGTCAAGGTCACGGCACCCATGCAAATTGAAATAACAATATATCAACAGGTAGGGGAGGAAAAGGGGGGATGGTATTGGGGAATGGAATCCGCCAAGTAAATAGTGTTGCCAACATACGCTTTCTGAAAATTCCCATGGGCCTGTCAGACTGACCAGGGTTTCGGTAAAAGTGTTAAATTAGTAATGTCATATATCAACTGTTTGAACAAATAAATAAAATAACGAGCCTATCCTGCTGATGTCTTCCTCTTCATGGCGAGCATCCTAGGGTAGAGGTTTCATTTAAAAAGCAAACAAGCTTTAGCTTTTACGGCTCTAAAATCAACAGGCTAAAGTGCACTCCCTTCCATACCCTGACTGATTTGGGTGGTTGTAACCAAGGTACTGGGGTTTCATCTTGAGGCTAAACTCAGATAGGATACTTGCACATAATAGTGCATATTAGGCCAATAGTGCACATGATGAACTTTTCCAAAGAAAACTTACCATAGTAATATTTCTACTCAGAAGGCAATGTAACTTAACTAAATAGCAGTGAAATTAAATCAGAAGTGTGTATCTAGATCCTATCTTATCCTGGAATACCATGCCAAGTATCCTATGGTCTATATTGTTGGGGTCTTTCTCCGATAGCCTCTCAAGTTTTCAATGATATTAGATTTAGGCTACCTTGATTACCACGTTCGCTGCTGACAACTCCGATCGGAGTCATGCCGTAGGTACTGGCACAGCGTGCGTAGGACTCCGGTCGGAGTCATGGTGCAGTGTTATACAAGTTGGTCTACTGTGACCTCCGCATTTATCGGGTATCACCTAAACTAAGTCAGCATGTTGTGCTGGTCCTAGACTTTAATTTGGTGTATGTTGAGTTTAGGTTGGTAGTAAGTTAAAATTTCCCTTAAAATCCCGTCTGGCAACGCTTTTTGTCTCATTTTCAGGGATTTTCTCTCTTCGAGCCACATTACAAAGATATTGGCTACGGATCCAGGCAGTGCTGCTATCTGCGAGTTTTTCAGTGAACTACGTCCACTCACAATGGGGGTTAACACAGCCCCATTACCACTGCTGTTATACCGCTGTCAAGACTGAAATATTTGAATGCTATTGCGTTGACTGATTCACTGGTGCGCCGAGGCTGCGTCGCATTTCCGACCGTCCCGCAAAAAAGATTCTCGCAGTGAACGTGTTAACAGAGTCTTTAGGCCTATTCCCATTCTGATATTGGTTAGATGACATGGTTTAATGACCAAGAAGACGGTAAGTTATTCAAGGTAAATATTTTACCTATCAAGGCTTGCCGAATCATTCTTGACCCTGAAGATGGCATTCTATTGCTTTAAACAAGAATCTTTGAAAATTTATCATATCTAATTTAAGACTCATTCCAAAGGAATGGATGATTTTAGCAATCGCTAGTGTTAACCTTGAGCTGAACACAAAATAGGCCTTATGAATTTTTAGTTTTAAATCTTGATTTCCAGCGAGTCGAATAAGTTATTCCAACCAGACTAAATTACAAATAATATTCCTTTAAAATCCCTTCATATTGTTATGCAGCAGTGCAATGATTGTAAATGAACACATTTTCTCTAGAAGGGTATAGTTTTGGACAAGGTCTTCAAGAAGGACGCCGGCCAAAAATGAAGAAAATTGCTTAACGTTCTTTGATTCCTAGGTTAAGTGTACTCTGGACTGACAATAAGAAAATAAAACTATGCTGTATTACAACGATTCTTACCATAAAGTAGTGATGCATTGATGAATTAGTGTAAACACTTATTTGTATTGTTATTATTTACTTTGGAGTTGACAGTTTACTGTACTAACTAACCTTGATAATTTGACACTAGTTTTTTTCTAAGACGCTTTTGTCCATGAAGGAGCAGAAGTATTCAAGTCATCCAGCATTGCCAGATTGTATGGCGATGTAATCTTCATTGAATATAGAAAAATATCTCATGCTAAAACCCATGGTGGAAGGAAAATCCCAATATTTTTACAGTAACATTGAAATTAATTAAAAGTAAAACTTCATCGCTTCAAAACATTTAATCATACGACGGCGCTGAAGGGCCACCAACTATAAAAAAATATTTTTCTTAATCTCTGAGAAAAAAACATAGAATTCTGAGTTTAAAGTAAGAATATAACAAGTGGGCGTTCCACTCTGAGATTAAAGTCAGAATTCAACTAGTGGGCGATCCCCTCTGAGATTAAAGTCAGAATTTTACAAGTGGGCGTTCCTCTCTGTGAAAGGAGTTAGAATTCTGAGATTTAAGTCAGAATTGAATTGTGGGCGTTCATCTCTGAGATTAACGTAAGAATTGGACTTAACTCTATCTAGTCTCTACTACTCTACTCTTCTCACGGGCACGGCCACCTTTAACTCCAGGCCGCGGCCTGGTAAAATTGGCAACGTTGCAAGTAGAAGAACACAGTAGAATAGACAACAGAAATGAAATTTATATTATTTCTTTTGTCTAAGATAGTAGGGATGATAGCATCGATATGCTGATAATATCGTTGCAATAAGAGAGGAACGCCCACAGTTCAATTCTGACTTAAGAGTTTAACGCCCACTAGTTATGTTCTAACTTTTTTCTCAGAGAGGAACGCCCAAAATTCAATTCTGACTTTAATCTCAGAATTCTAACTCCTTTCACAGAGAGGAACGCCCACTTGTTAAATTCTGACTTTAATATCAGAGGGGAACGCCCACTAGTTTAATTCTGACTTTAATCTCAGAGTGGAACGCCCACTTGTTATATTCTGACTTTAAACTCAGAATTCTAAGTTTTAACTCGGAGATTAAGACAAAGTTTTTTTAACAGTTGGTGGCCCTTCAGCGCCGTCGTATAATCAAGTGCTTCCATTTGTTACTGAAGAAGTTACGAGCTGCAGTGCTGCAGTAAAAAATACATCTCCAAGCTCCGAACCATTTGGCCCTCAACCTCCTAGACAACAGTCAACATGTCTACAGACATAAAAGAGAAAATGTTTTAGACCTTCCGACTCGATTTGTACAGCAGCTCTGAAATTTCTTTTCTTTGCTTTTTTTGTTAGTGCTAAAGCTATTTAGCTGCTAATTCATGTTTTCCAATTTTTATTTACTTATAGTTTAATGTAAAATACTGTCGATTGTAAATAAAACTTTGTTAAAAAAATTGCTTTTTTGTAAACAATATTTTTTTGTTTTTCCGTTTCGTTAAACAAATAAATTAGTTGGTTTTCGAACGCGAGAGAAGGCTACATAAAGTTGTCCATGTGAGAGACATGGATTGTTTTGTCTAATTCACACACTTGCAGTGATTGTCCTGTCCTTGAGATTTTGCTTATATATAGTTATTGCTACCGCGAGCATTGAGTAGTATTTCCAAAATTGTAATTCACACAAACCTTCCCGGGGGCTGTATCAACTTCTCGAAGTTTCATTACGATTGGATGGCCGAGTTGGTAACGCATAAAAGGACGGTAAAAAGTTTCATTACGATTGGATGGCCGAGTTGGTAACGCATAAAAGGACGGTAAAAAGTTTCATTACGATTGGATGGCCGAGTTGGTAACGCATAAAAGGACAAACAAACAAAAAATTGATTCTTGTATAGGAAGAGAAGAGAAGAAATTTACATCCGTGAAAGCAATATCTCAGATTAATTGATTTAAATCCAATTTTGACTGAACTTGGCTGGAAAATGTTTGACAGCTTAACACTTCTCATTTTAGTTCGCGAACCAGCAAGATCGGGTTATGGGGCTTTTAAATTTTCAAAATTTGCTTTTTCACATTTCCCCCTCCGAAACATGAAAATACTCAACTTGCATTACAGCCATCATGTGGAGCTTAAGAATAGTTTTGTATATTGAAGCGTTGCTGTACAATAAAATATCACGTACAAAATATATAAAAAAACCGGTATACTTTTAAAATTCACAAAATGATATTCTTATGTAGGAAAAGAAAACTACAATAGTTTCCTTGTTTAAGGACATATTTTTTGGTTAAATTTGGCAAAATTATTTAGTTTATTCTAAACCTATACCATTTTATAAAAAAAGTCTTTCCTTCCCTGTTTCAGCAAACCTAAATACTTGTCAAATCTAGCACTTTTTAAATGGAGATTAAATATGACTTGCTTATGGAAATATTTTAGTTGAATAAAATCCAATTGAAATTCACTTGAGCAGGTTCGATGCAGCGGGGTTAGGCTATTTAAATTAAATTATAGTAGTAAAAGATTAATTAAATAAATACATTAGCCACATTTTATAAAAATATATCTATAAACTTTTCTTTTCCTCCATAAAATATAATATACCATACTTTTGTTTTACCATCTCTCTTTTGCATAGCACTTTGTGGAGCAGAAAGTTGCTGCTAGGTACTGCATTTTATTGATCCACCCCATTAATCAGGGGGTGGTGCTGGGACTCTGGGGGTAGTAGTGGAACCAGCTCAATGCTTCAATGTGTTTGTTAACCTAACATTATTACAGTGCTTCGGTGTTCACATTTCAATTTGTGCTTCTTGTACTCATTAAGTAAATTTTATGTGGAAAGTAATGCTACTTCATGTATCAACAGGCCTAGTCAATAACCATTACTCAGGATTATATAATATCATATTAGTATAATATTTAATATTTACCTCCATACAGAGGCTTAATTACTTGCCTTATGGATAATTCATTTAATAAGCTAAAATTTCCTAAAATGAACATATTTATGACTGCTTTACTGCTAGCTAATATTAGTCCTTTGGTAGTTTTAGAAAATATTGAAGATACAAATTATAAAAGGCAAATAAAAAATACTCCCATTAAAAGTTCAAAGCTTCCAGCCTGTCAGGCATGTAAGATGTTGGTTGAATCTTTCCTATTACAAATCAAAGCTATGTCAGGTACATTTTCTAGTACTGATAGCAAACAAGTTGAAAATTCGGATGTCAAGATTTTGGAAGACATTTTCAAGAAATTGTGCCACAGTGACAGTTCTACAGATCATTGCTACTCATTGGTTGACAAAAGTAAAGAAGACTTGAAGAACTGGTGGACTATTGATAGGAAAACTAATCCTGACCTCTTACACTACCTGTGTGTTATAAAGCTCCACTTTTGCTGCCCAAGTGGGCACTATGGCCCTAAATGCTATCCGTGTCCCGGTTTCCCTGATAGAATCTGCAATAGTAATGGGAAATGTAAGGGAGATGGCACACGTAAAGGCAACGGTGAATGTTCCTGTGACGTTGGATACTCCGGCAAGACGTGCAACGAATGTGCTGATTCATATTACATTTCATATAAAGACAACGAAAAAATGCTTTGTAGTAGATGCCATTCTGCATGTGATGGTAATTGTTCTAGAGCTGGGACTAGAGGGTGCATGGCATGCAGGGATGGTTGGAGAATGGATAAAACACGAGGGTGCGTTGATGTCAACGAGTGTTTTTCAAAGAGATTGCCATGTAAAAGAAGCGAGTTTTGTATCAACAACGAGGGATCATTCTCGTGCATGGCATGTGACCCTTCTTGTGATACTTGCACAGGAGATGGCCCCGATATGTGTGAAAAATGTGCTGCAGGGTTTGTTCTTAAAGATAACATATGCATAAATGAAAAAGACTATGTATCATATTCGGATGTCACACGATATATTACGTACGTGGGGCTCTGTTTTGCCACCTACATAGTATTTCAGAATAATCCATTGATAGCTAGTGCTATTGGACTGTGTGTAGCAATTTATGTCACTGTGTCAGAATACTTATTAGGAACGCTCACAGCTGCATCATTTACAAGATTATTAGAGAGACTTGACCATTTATGGAGAGATGTTTAAGATTAATAATGTGGATCATAGTGATAAATAAATGCACATAACCATTAGATAATTAAAAGCAATTCAACTGCTCAAGTACGTATATTTCAAATACACCTATATAAACCTTTCTAGTTCCTTGGTAGATAGACAATAATGTTATTTTTAACATTAATAATATGATACAACAATTAGTAAAAAAAACTGTTCAGCTACATAGCAGTTTATTTCTATGGCAACATGAACATTTTCCCGCCAAAAAGTTCACTACCTTTTACCTTGAATGCTTACTGATTGTTTTGTTTTAAGCTAGCAAAAAAGTAAATTAACAATGCGTCGTCTGCTCTCAGTGCTCTGCTCTGTTTGCTTGCTTGAGCGTCTCGGTTTAAAGAATAGTATTTTTTATCATCGAGTGTAAATTAGCCTAATAATTTGTATTTTCCATAATGATTATTTATCTCAATCTACTGTGATCATACTTAAAATAGTATTTTTGTGAGGTATCACACTCGAAGTACCTAGCCTATCTAATAGTAGAACAAATTTTATGATGGATGAGAATAAGCACTTAGTGCTAATTATAAGTAATCCTAATTTAAAAACGCCACAAGGAGTTAAAGTTTTTACAGTTAGTAGTAAAAGTTTTATTTTCATATGGCAAGACAGTAAAATTTTCGTTCATGAAAAATCAGTTGTGGGAAATAGTAAAGAACTTGATCTAACCACAATAAGTGTTAGTTCAAGGATAAAGGTAAGAGGATTAATAAGTTTATAGGATAGGCCTCTACTATAAGTGTTTTTTGTAATAAATGAGTATTTTTAGCAAGCTTTGAATTTGAAGATGATCATCATACCCAAGCAGTCAAGTACCCAAGACTTAACTTAATTCACATGGAGTTTCTGGTCTTATTTTTATAGTTATCTGAGACACATAAAAATAACCAAGCTTTTAAGCTCACGGCTTGAGTTGATTCATTTTGACAACAGATACTGATACGGAAGTCAACCCGGGGGGCCATGTCCCGATTTTTCCCTCACCCTGATGAATGCTGTCCTCATTTTAGCCATGTAGGACTACATTACATCATTTAAACATGTTTTTAAACATAAGGGCTAGGCCTAACTGAAATAATAATGGCCATCATTTCAATACTGTAAACTTTTCTAGGTCTATATAAGTTAGGTACACATTTCAGCAGCTAAGAAATTGTTTACTGGGGTTGACTTCCGTATCTGTTGTCAAAAACATCCGAATGAAAATATAGATCGATATATCGAATAATTTTACATTAAGTTGTTTTTGACAACAGATACGGAAGTGTGCCCGCCCCCCCTCCCCCCGGATTAACATAGGCTTAAATGCGGGCATAAGGAACCGAAATCGGGACTGTCCCGGCAGAATCGGGACGGGTGGCAACCCTGACATACATAGCCTGTGTCCATGCACCTCATGGATAGAACGTCTGTTCAAACACATCCGCATAGGGCCTCAGCCTATTAAGTTTTTATCAAAATCCATTGTTGTCCCTAACTGTAAACCCTTTGAGCTCACAAAGCTGATATACTGGACACAAGAGTAACTTAACTTAACTTCCACCCTAACTCTCTAAACCTAAGTTACCGTAAGCAAGTTTAATTCAACAAAAATGGCTGAAAGCTATGTTTACACCAGACAAGCATTGCAACCTGAGAGTTAAGTTTAGAACTACTACGCTTGGGCTTTGGGTTGTCCAGTGTTCCATAGTGCAGTAAACCTTTAGGCCTAGGCCTGATTGAGAGCAGAGCAATTTAAGGTGTGGTCTGACCAGGAGGGAGACAGCACGAATGACAATATATATTAGCCTACATACCCTATGTGGGACTCTGTTTTACAGCACTGTAGAATGAGGGTTTCCTCTCCTGGTCAGTCTGATATACAACTCATGAGAAGTTCACTTCTCTGTGACAAAGCTTGGTGGGGAGGGATCCATTAAAAAAAAGGTGGTTAGCCAGGTGGTTTGATTACTTACCCCCAATAATTTGAAAGCTGATAGTTTAACCCTGAGTAAATTTTGATGTAGGCTACCGGTACGGTAGGCCTATATGGATCCTAGACTCTGGGTGGTGTTGCCATCTCACATTATTCATAATTACTGAAAACTGGACGAGTTGTACTTTATCTTTGAGTTTTTAATAGACTCTTACTTTCTCCCTCTGTACACAGCATAGGCTATGGAGAAAGTAGCCTAATATTTTTGCAGTACAACCCCATTGGAAACAAAATAAATAAATAAATTGGAACTATTGTGATTTTCCAAATAAAATACCATTGTTCATCCCACCAAGTTTTTTGTTTTAATCAGCTGCTTTTTTACGATAGAGGGAAATGCTTTATCCACCATCAGGGTCTAAAGATTTTTTTTAGTCTGGTGTGTGGGACTCTCGCCCACTAAAATCTATCGATCCAGGCAATGGAAATCCTCTCGGAAACGCTATTTGCAATAGGCCTACTTCAAGAGGGTGCCTTCGTACGCCAGAGATAGCATTTCAGCCACAATGATCCACCAGGACCAGCTGCACTGGTGAATGCCAGCGTTTTACCAATCAGTTCTCTCCTTCTGCGGCAAACCAGCCACCCGCACAGACTGATAGCCCCAACAGTAATAAGGTGTGTTTTTTGATGAAATGGTTAGCCCAGTATGAAATAAATCAAGCTGCCAAATTTGATCAAAATCCTACTAATATTATAAATGAGAAAGTTTGGATGTATGGATGTATGGATGTATGGATGTATGGATGTATGTTTGTGACAAGTGAACGCGAAAAATACTGGTCGGATTGGGCTGAAATTTGGCATGATGATAGCTCACATTCCCGATTAACATATAGGCATATTCTTATTTCAAAAATCCTTTCGGGCTCCGCCCTAGTGGCTCTGGAGTTTCCCATGTTAACCTTATGAGAAATGAAATTATTGAATCTTAACAGCTGTTTCAATTAAACAAGTTGGTTCTGTTCTGTGATGTTCAATAGCATTAAAGTTACAAAAATTACCAACAGGGTGCAGCACTATTATTTCTTTTACATTTATGACAACAGCTAATTTGCAACCAAAAGGTGAGTGAGCGTAGCGAACGAACTTCAACCTGGAGGCGAGTTAGCGTAGAGAACGAGCTAACCTGAAGGCAAGTGAGCGCAGCGAACGAGCTCCAACCTAAAGGTGAGTGAGCGTAGCGAACGAGCTCCAACCTAAAGGTGAAAGAGCGTAGCGAACAAACTTCAACCAGGACGTGATTAAGCCATGCGAACGAGATAATCTTGAAAATTAAGAAGTTAAACGGGGCAAAGCCCGCGGGTTACAGCTAGTCATCCATAAAGAAGCAAACTACAGCAGTTAGGGTAACTTATTCTCCATAAGAAAAACCATTGGAATTACAAATTGAATTTTTATTGCATTTTTCTGTAACCATTATCATTACAAAAACACTTCAAAATACTGTTATAATTTTTTCTTAATTCTATGTGTTGAGGACCATGATAAATAATAAAAATCAGTTTTTAGCCCATAAAACCTCCCATTAAAAACTTGTTCCTAAAATCCCATCATGCTGGTTCACGAGCCCTTAAAATAAACATAGGTTTACATGTTGTACAAATTTCATCAAAATTGGATGCGGTTTTGGTTATTCTTTCTATAGTTCCATTAGTCCATAATACAGGTATATCAATTGAGATGGGTACGCCACCTAGGTGCGTATTTTAACCCAAATATGGGTGAAGGATGACGTGTAGAATGAAGTGAGGTGCCTCGTATAGCTTTGATTTTATTTTTTTATATTTATTAGCCAAGATTATTTATTCAAAACCCAATGAGAGATAACAGCTGGGTCCAGTCTAAACCATAAAAAACTATTCATTTTTATTTGGTTTAGAGGTATAAATATGCTTATTTTAATGAATTTGATCCTACTTCAATATTACGTGTGTTTGTTTGGGGTTCAATAGGCCTAATGCAGTAATGCATTCAGTTCACCACTGGTGGGACTGGGCTGAAATTTGGCATGATAATAGCTCATATTCCCGATTAACATAAAGGCCTATTCTTATCTCAAAAATCCTTTTGGGCTCCGCCCCAGTGGCTCTGTAGTTTATCATGTTAACCTTATGAGTTTTTATATTTAAATGGAACTAAAGGTTAAATAACTTCTTGATCAGCTTTGTACGTGTTATTAAATTTATGGAAAGTAAATAAAGAGACGTCTTATAACACTTAAAACATATATTTACGCTTACACTATTACTCACAAGACGGTAAATATACAAAACAGATGGTAAGTGGTGATCGATTTTGATTGGACACTCCCAAATGACATGTCGCCTATTGGGTCTGATGATGATTGGAGTGTCCAATCAAAATCAATCACCACTTACCATTTTTTTTTGTATATTTACCGTACCGTCTTGTGAATAACAGTGTAAGCGTAAATATATGTTTTAAGTGTTATAAGACGTCTCATTTATTTACTTTCCGTAACTAAAGGTTGTCCAGTGGTCGAAAACTCAACAAAAAAATATATCTGAAAGCACAAAAATATATCTCAAATAACACTTATATGATATATTTACACTTAGATAATGTTTGCTCGCAAGACGGTAAATACATATAAAAGATGGTGAGTGGTGATTAATAATGTGCTTATTTTTGAGCCTATTTTAATTTATAAAGTGATTCTGCTCATCTACAGGAAAAATCTTTCTAATAGCATGCATAGATTTTCCCTGTGATGCACACAAGCTGAGAAAAAAGGTTTTAAGGAAATATGCGCCTATTAATATTATATGGACTAGATAGTATTATTAAGGTTGTACAGTGGTCGAAAACTCAACCAATCTTTTATATATTCAACTAATATAATGGTTTAATTACCTTCAGTCTCCAGTTCAAAGTAAGTCGATTGCGACCTAGGTTTCAGCACGACGTTGTGCTATCATCAGGCTTCCAGTCGAAAATGTTCAGTCCATTGGACGTCGTTTAGTAAGAACTATGTACAGTTCACAAGACACAAACACATACACATTTCGAACACATCTTATGATGTCAAAACTATTATATATTCTCCCCACGCTGTAAAGAAAACATGTGATTAGAATTTCTTTAATTTGTTTTGATTTTCTGTTTATATTTTGTAGTTATTTTGTCACCAGTATCGCAGCCCATAAGGCCCATTTTAATTTTTTTTAATTTAAAAGGATTTTTTTCTTATTTTTGAGCTTATTTTAATTTACGACTGGGATTCTGCACACCTACAGGAAAATATCTTTCCAACAGTATACGCAGATTTTCCCTGTGATGCACACGAGCTGAGAAAAAAGGTTTAAAGAAACATGCTTGGAGCCTATCTTCTTATAAAATTTGAATACCACGATACCACTCACTGATCACTGTATCTCAAAAACTACTAACCGTAAGAAGATGCAAGATTTTTATGTTACTTAGTGTTTCTATAAGATACATACAACTTTAAAATAAAGTTATGGGTTATTTGACAATACTATTCGAAAATTAGGTTTAAGCATGCAAACGCATGTGAATGGGGATACAGCGGGAATTGTTTTCTGGCAAAAAAACATTATGCAGGTGATTTCAGAGTAAGCAGTCCGAACCTCCTGGTAGACGGAGCATACAGTTAATGTTGTGAATTAATTAAGGTCGATTCACACACATAAGTTACGACACGTCACAGTCCAGTCACTTCAGGCACGTCACAGTTAACAAAAATATTCTGTAATGGTTTTTCTATTGGACTAGCTACACCCATCCGTTGCAGTTCACTCAGTCGTTCTGCCGGCGTCCATCAGTCAATTTCAGATTTCTTTTCACCGATATTTTTGGATTGTTCGGATGCCAGAACTGACATGTTTGAGGTTAGAAAATAGTACTTTTTAGCGAATTTCCCATATAGGGAATAAGCTATTACTGTGTAAGATCTAGACCCGGAACCGATTTACTTTTTCGTTTTGAGGTCCCTAGAGGCCAAAAACGCCATCCGTTCAAATTCATATAAGGTAATATAATATATATATAATATGTGTCCGTTAGCACAATAACTTGATGAAAAATGATCGGATTTTGATGAAATTTGGTAAAAACGTGTAAACCTACATTTGTTCAAACGAGTTCACGAACCAGCATGATCGGACTACGGGAACAGGTGTTAATGGGTTTTAAGGGGTAAAAATTGGTTTTTCCTATTTTTTACCCTTAAAACATAAAACTTAGCTAATTCTTACCAAACCATTTTGTAGAGCTTAAAAAAACAAATAATTTTGTGTATTGAAGCGTTACTAGCACTTAATGGTTGTGGAGAAAATTCCAAAAAATATTGTACATTTAAAATTTCCATGTTATTCTTATGGAGAATAAGTAAACTGTTGTAGTTTGCTTATTTATGAAAATATTTGAACACTCTTTCTGACTATCTCCCAATGTGGAATGATAATTAATTTTTTGTACTAAACTTTTAGGAGGTGAATCTAAGGAATCGTGTTATGGATATTTTTCAGACAAATGATTCTATATTTGCATTGGATGATAATGGAAATATTTATTCTCTTCGCACAACAACCATAAATCCAGCGTAAGTAATTCGCCTGTAACGCTTTACAGTATATAATGTATAGTAGAGGTGTCGTAATCAATAACTACCGTACAACGGTTTTTAATAATAGCTGCTGTACCTGTGCTTTGCAACAGGAAAATGTACTATACTGCCAAATCCAAAAACTTGTTATCAAATTTATAAAAGAAAAACCAAGAAATTTATACAAAAAAGTATCACCTACATTATGTAATTGTCCTCCCTGTTTACATTTAGACATACATTACGTGACTTAGACACTTTAATAAATCGAAAGCAGAGGCTGGGTCGATACAGCAACGGTTACAGAATCTTTTTCCTATAGGGAAGTAGTTATTTCCGTAGGTGGCACGGTAAGACTAGGCTCGGGACCGATTTACTTTTTAATTTTGATCTCCCCAGAGGTAAAAAAGTCGGGACCACGAGAGTCTGTAGTTGGCGGCAGTCAATCACAAGACAAGGCTAGCGCGACGTTGCCATATCGCCCGTAGACGACACTAATTAAAATACTATAAACAATATTTTCAAATCAGCTGGTATTATTAGATTTGGCAACACCGCACTGTCCTCAATGGCTCCTTTGAAGTCACGTGGTAAATAGACTCCTCCCTCAACTGCAGACTCTCGTGGTCCCGACATTAATTAATAATTGTTCATACCATTACAAAAAATGTCTCATAAACCATTGGCAATATAAAGGACATACATTTGAATTCGGACAACTGATGGTATACATACCCCACATAAAGTGTAGAAAAGAAACAAAATTCTACTTGCTGTAAAACGTATAAAAATATATTAATGTAAACCCAAACAAAATCTTAGCTTGATTTTCTTCAGCTCCATAAAGATGACAAATATTCAAGGGATAGTATTTATTCTCTGATACAACTACTGTAAATGGTAAATTAAATTAATATTTTTAGAAACTTGATGGAAGTTGAAGATTTGTTCAGTTCCCCAGTAATTAGTGAAACACTTGAATGGACAGAAAAAATAATTACAAAAGTCAACGAATGTGACAAAGTGGAAGCCGTCTGCCATTTAACCGCAAGTTTGGCATTGCTCACAGTAAAAGGTGGATTATGGAATGTATGTGTTTACTCTTTGCCAGAGTACAATTCAAATTGTGTTCTGAATCTGAACAAATTTAACTCAAAGGTAAGAACTTTTAAAATTTTTTTTGTTTATCAGGTATTAATTAAGAGTAGTAAAAATGTAAATACAGAACACGATTCCTACTTGGCTGGATTGTCGATTTCCCGTAATGTTGCAATCAGCTATTACAATGGAGACTAATTGGGGCCAACTAGAATTGTAGTACAGTAGTGAAGTAAAGAACGCTAAGTAACGGCGCTGGTGTGAGATTTGAACTAGCGGTACATTCCTGTCAAGGGAAACATTAACATTATGGGATTATTATCGATGATTTCTTTTCGATATATATCTATATTTTTGTTTTCCTTTACGATCCATATTCCATCTGTTTTAATATCTTAAAACGCATATAAATTACAGACAGACAGAGAAACAGACATAGCAAATATGTCTAAGTTATACTTGGTTCAATAACCGAGTTATTGAGTTAAAGCTCGTATTAGAGAATAGGATTAAGAACTAATCTTGTTCAGGCAAAAACAATTATCCTATATATTGGATTAAGAAAAGAAACTATTCTAAACTAACCTAACATAACTAACCAAACTTGCTGTAGGCTAAGTTACCCTTTCAAAATTCCGTTTGATAACAGAAAAGGCATATGAGGAATAGGCTATCAAACGGAATTTTGAAATGTTACAGCAAGTTTGGTTCATTTAGAACAGTTTCATTTCAATAAAATATTTTTTTTGTTGATACAAAACAATATTTATTTATTGTAGTTGTCAGCTGATAAGTTTCAATTTGTTGATATCAATATATCGAATAAAAAATAGAAAATATCGATATATCGAAAAGAAATCATTGATAATAATGAATGTTCCCTTTAACAGGAAAGTACCAAACTAGCTTGCTTGGGCATGACTAAGACTTTTGGAGTCCTTAATTTACAAACAACCCTTATAAAAGACAAAGGGACAGCCTAACATACCATACAATCATACAATTAGCTCTTCCGCCATTGAGCTTTCTCCTGGTTACTCTAAGATAGATTAATACAGTAAGCACTGCCAACATTAAATATCAAGCAAGCCTTAAAGTCTTTAAAACCTGATGATTGAACTTTTCTGTCATAAAATGGAATTACAAGTTGAAGGACTTTGAAAATTAGTTGTAAAATAGTTTTAAGAAAGCTCTATAAATATCTAGCTAACTTTTAATTGGTGATATGCAAGTATAACCGTTTGCTGTTTTTTTTAGGCTTCAGTTTTGTCCAGTTGTGTGATATCACTCATGACTCCAAAGCTCAAGCAGAATTTCAAAGAACACCTGGAACCTTTTGATGAAGAAATAATTGTTATTGGCCTAAAATCTGGCTTATTGATTTGGTTTTGCGTGAAAAGTCCTGTAAAAGGTCCTTTTGTTATGTTTAACACATATCAGGATATACAAAATATGCATTGGATCAAAGGTGGGTTTGAAATGGCACAGTCGATAGAAATTAAAGTTATTTACGTACACCTTAAATACTAGCACTTTGAGGGAATGTAGTATATGCTCATAGTAAAATACTCCTGTCGCAGCAAACCTGCAGACTAAGCAAATTTCAATTTGCCTGGTTGGATTTTCAATTAAATCTATTTAAAGGTATCTAGATTTGCTACTACAGGGAGGGTAATACATGTTTTTTAAGTAAAATATTAATAGCTTAGGATAAAATAAATAAATTTGCCAATTTTGATCAATCAAAATATATCCACAAGAATAACATAGGAATATAAAATTTACAATTTTAGAATTTTCAACAATTGTACAAAAACACTTTGATATACCAAATTATTTGATTTTATGAGCTCTTCAAAATGGTCTAGAGAGAAATTGGGAAATGTTTAACACGTTGGGTGCGTCCGTTCCCGATCGGGTACGGGGCTCGGCCCCTGTTCTGTGCATCCGTACCCGATAGCGTGTAGTGTGTGACTTGCATTTTGTTGTGGTGTAGGTTGGTTGTAAATTTCCTTGTAAAACACCCGCGACCATACAAAGGAAGGTATTTTAAGCCTTTTTTATTTATTCATACAAAGAAAGGTCAATGACAATAAGATTCTTGATCCTTAAATAACTGATTGCAAACCATAGTCTCTTTTATGTTAGATCAAATATCACAATATTTAATTTGATAAAGAAATGTTTTGAATATATTTTTGTTAAATTTTATTTACTTACTAAATATCAAACAACATTGATATACATTTTTTCCCAGATCCAAACAGTGGACTCTATGTGTGCCTATTGGTACTTCTGAGTTCAGGACAAGCGATTGCATTTGGAGGAGAAAAACATTCAATGCTGTGTTTACCAGACTCTGTAGAATCTTCTAGCAGTTTAAAAAATTCTATCATATCTTCAAATTTTGTTGATTGTTATGCAAGTGAATTACAAATGGGAGAAAATGTTAGTGCGAACAGTGTGCTATTACCAGTGAAAGGTTAGTACTCTTTTGAGATGGGAGAATGGAAATTTATTCACACCTTGAAGTTCAGTAAAAGAAGGAGTTGGAGTAGCTCTGAAATGTCTATGTGTTGTGTGTTTATTCATATATCTATATTACTTAGTAAGGTAAACCTTGTTAAACCTGTCCATTACAAAATACTTGAAAACCCCTTGGCCTAAAGCCATTTTTACCAAATACTTCATAACTTAACATGTTAAGTTAGAGATGTCTGATAATATATTTTTTAAGAACTGTTCAGTTTGTATATTTTTCGCTTTTAAGTCCAAGAATGATTTGATGCAGCTGGAAGTTTATCCCAATTGATACTTTAAGCTGGCCTTAATAGCTGATTGTAGATCGAGGCAGTAGATTTTGTTCTTGGGCTTGAGATTGTGTTGACTGAACTGAGGATTATAACAGATAGAGAAAGAGCCCATGACTGCCAGACCTTTGTTATTTTATAAAAGCTGAAAGTTTCTCAGCAAATTCTCCCAATTCAGAATTCATTGTCCTACTTCTGGATATTGCTTTATATTAATTAAATTATTATTGTTACCTTACAATATCCGTTTAGTGTTGGTAGATAAACAACTACATGTTTCGTGGCGACTGCCACATCCTCAGGTTATCCTCTTCTCAGATTCGTCATCAATTCAGTTAAGAATGATCGGCGACTATGAAATTTGTATCTTGGTTACTTTGGCAACAAAAAGGTACGGTAACAAAGGTCTGAAATTTACAAATAATCTTCGTTATAGTATAAGGCTTGGTTTTTTCATACTTTCTTCAGAGGAATGTTAGAAATAATTTCCTCTATTGCCAGACACTTTGTGTGGTTTAAACCCTCTGCCAGACACCCTTAAAACTTAGGTATGAGGAAGATTAATTTTCGTCATTTTATAAAAGCTGAAATTGATATATGTTACTTGGGGGGCTATCAAAAGACGTTTTCTCAAAAGCCAGACACTTTCGTTGGTTATTTTATCTTGCCAGACTCTTTAAAGTATGCCGTGATAAGCTTAACCTTTACCTGCAAACAGTAGATTCAGTTCCAGTTTGCCTTTGCCAAATGTAAATGGTGAAATTACTACTTTCTTCTTCACAATCTGTTTTTATAATAAATCATATGTTTTAATGTAAACATATGTTATATTTGCATTTAATTGTTTATTCCTGCAGTGTTTTGAAGTCATCGTTTGTAACTATTGTACCTACTACCTATTATATTACTACAGACTTTTAAATTGTCTGGCAAGATAAAATAACCAATGAAACAGTCTGGCTGTTGAGGAAATGTTTCTCCATAGCTTCCCAAGTAACATATATCAAATTCAGCTTTTAAACTATGATGTAAATTAACGCAATTACGATTAGAAATAAGTAGTGATTTCACCGTTTACATTTGGCACAGAAACCTGTTCTATACTGGAACTGAAGTCACTGTTTGTATGTAGCAGTTGAGCCCACAACTACCTATTATATTTCAGCAGACTTTTAACGTGTCTGGACAGATGAAATAACCAACAAAAGTGTCTGGCTCTTGAGGAAATGTCTCTTCATAGCTTCCCAAGTAACATACATCAAATTCAGCTTTTATACTATGATGTAAATTAATGCAATTACAATTGGAAATAAGTTGTGATATCACCTTTTACATTTGGCACAGAAACCTGTTCTATACTGGAACTGAAGTAACTGTTTGTAACTGCTGTACCTATTATATTACTACAGACTTGTAAATTGTCTGGCAAGATAAAATAACCCACTAAAGTGTCTGGCTGTTGAGGAAATGTCTCTCCATAGCTTCCCAAGTAACATATATCAAATTCAGCTTTCATACTATGATGTAAAACGCAATTACGATTAGAAATAAGTTGTGATTTCACCGTCTGTGCCAAACTGGAACTGAATTCACTGTTAGCAGGTAACGGTTAAGCTTATCACGGCAGACTTTAAAGTGTCTGGCTAGATGAAGTAACCAACGAAAGTGTCTGGCTCTTGAGAAAACGTCTTTTGATAGCTCCCCAAGTAACATATATCCAACTGAACAGTACAGTACGAGACATACAAGTTGTGACTTGTTTGTTATGAAGATTAATGTTTATTTCATCAGTCTTGAATTGGTGGTTTCGTGAACAAAAAACAGATTTAAAAAAAGAGTTTATTGTATATATAAATAATTGCACTGTGTTGAAAGAAAACTAGATACCAGTTTTGTAGCAAAGATTGCAATTTCTATACTTTGTTTGGCTACTCTTAACACCAGAGTATATGAACGCAGACACAATCAACAGTGGAATGTTTTATTATAATTATTGATTATTTTACCACACCAATTTTTTTTTCATGTCTACAATACTTCCTTTCCAGGTGTATGCACTATGACAAGTGATCCGGATTCAGATGTGATAATAGCAGTAACAAATCACGGATCTGTCTACAGCTTCGACCCGACTGTAAAACCTCCGGAAAAATCCACATTCTTTACCCTTCCAGACCAGAGTTTGCTTGATAATATGTTCATGCAATCTCAAATCTTGGATAATCTCAACAAACAACTGGACAATGAGGGAAACATCCTCAAAGCTGTATCGGCTACGATAGCAGCAAACTCTTGCCAAAACTTATTTGAATTGAGTGTTAAAGTGAATTCAGGTGATTGTTTCACATTGGTAAAACATTGTATTATTAACATAAATGACAGATTATTATTTTCCAAATACCGTACTTAAGTTATATGCTAGAAGCAATATCAGTGTGTTAGTAAGTCATTCTTCACAGAATTTTGATGTTTTAGTTTCAACATTTTGATTTGTTTAATTGCAATGTAAATGACACATGATTTTTATTTGATGAAGGTTCGACTCATATAAAAGCCGTTTGATGTTTAAAAGACTGTACCATGGTACAATTTTAAGCAAAATTAAGAAAATACTTCATGGATCTTTATTTGTTAAGGTTTGTTAAAGGTTTCACTGTAAGAATAGATTTCAATCTAAAGAAAAGCATGTAGGTTGTGTCATAAATAGGAGCATTTTATTCTACTCACTAATGCTCATTTTAGTTCAAATTTAATAATAAAATAGTTTAATTATCTGAATTTTAATATCTAACCTCCCTGTGAATTTTGATGATTATAAAAAAATCAGTGTTTGGAAAGTTACTTTTAAAAAGTTGCTTGCTTGATGTCACATATTCATTTCATGTTTGCTACCTTTTACCCTTTTGAGTTCCTTGGATTTTTAATTGTTACTATGATTTTAGCACATAGACTTAATATTTTACAATACATGATTATTTATTTATTTCTATATTTTTTACTGTGCAATTAGTTATCAAAACAACGAAGGAAATTGTATTAGGCAGATACAGTCAATGTTAGTACAGTATTCGAACATAGGCCCTAATTGAAATTTTGAGACTAATTTTGTTTGTTTTCAGATTTAGATTTTACTGTAAGAGCCAAGCTTGTGAAGAGCAAAGTCGTATTTCAAAGTAATCTTTGGTCGGTTTGTGTTGAAACCATTAGAGACAGAGGGAGAAAGACATTGTTTGATAATATGGAACATAACCTTAGTATTAACAGTGATTTAGTTGTGAATGTAAATTGCTCATTGGAAGTGGAAGACGTTGTATCTGTTGAACTAGTGTACTTCATAGATAAGAAACTACCCATATTAATAGTTCCAGTAGGCAAGGTCAGTACACTATTTAGGTAGACTATCAGTTATGTATAATTGAACCATTTAACCAAATAGTAATTTGTTTTGTTTATATAAATAAATAAATAAAATCCTATATGAAATAGTAAGTAGTTACATTTCAAGAGTTTTGACTGGAAATATAACATATATTTAAAATATCGTATAAAACGATTTAAAAAAATCATAGTTTTTAGTTTTAGAACTATTCCATTATTCTTATCTTCAAAATCAAAAATAATTTTCCTCTACAAGCCTCAAGCTGAAAAATAGTTTTTACTGCCTGTTATGTGAATATATAGATAATCTAATCATTATAGTTTTCTTACAGTTTATTTGGAATCCAATGAATAAAATGGTCCTAATATAGGGGTTATCCATCAGGGGGCAGAGCTCTAGGGGTTTAAAGATCACAAAAAAGTTAGAAACTTTATAACCATTGGAATCCCTCTGTTTCAAACATAAGCTTAAGCTTTGTCTTTTGCTATTATTTTTTGTAAAGAATAAACCTGAATATACCTGAATTATTGGGTATAAAAATCGGTACCCAAAAATCTTGGTAGTATGACAATAGATACGAATCGTTCTGAAAGAAATGTTTCTTGTTTTTAGTTATCACTAGCTGTACCCGCGGGCTTTGCCCCGCTTAACTTCATAAGTATTCGCATGGCTCAATCACGTCCTGGTTGAAGTTCGTTCGCTACGCTCACTCACCTTTGGGTTGGAGCTCGTTCGCTGCGCTCACTTGCCTTCAGGTTAGCTCGTTCGCTACGCTCACTTGCCTTCAGGTTAGCTCGTTCACTACGCTAACTCGCCTCCAGGTTGAAGTTCATTTGCTATGCTCACTCACCTTTTGGTTGCAAATTAGCTGTTGTCATAAATGTAAAAGAAATAATAGTGCTGCACCCTGTTGGTAATCCTTGTAACTTTAATGCTATTGAACATCATACAACAGAACCAACTTGTTTAATTGAAACAGCTTTTAAGATTCATTAATTCTATTTCTCATAAGGTTAACATGGGAAACTCCAGAGCCACTGGGGCGGAGCCGATTGGACGGATCACAAAATTGATGGTGTATAAACCTATTCCATGAAATTCTACACGTATGTACCAAGTTTTGTGGCAATCGGTTCAGCGGTGTCCGAGTTTATCACTGAAACACACACACACATATATATATATATATACACACAAACATCCTCTTTTATACTTATAGATAAATTAATTGTTCGAAATAGGGTTACTTTAGTATTATCCTGAGGCTGCCCTTAAAGAGCGCATTGCAGCGGATATGTTAGGTTGGGTTATCATAAATATATTTGTAGGACTTTTCTCGTTTCATTATGAATCAAACAATACCAGACAAGTCATACTTTAGCTTGCCAAATCCCCTCCAAGTAGGCCAAGGTGAGGTCGTTGACCGGAGTGTGTGCATCACCTGTCACCGCCTCTGTATCTTGTGTGGTAGTAGTAGAGGCGCTGTTACATTCAACACAATCCTCGCCGACATCGCTACCTTCTGGAAGGCAGAACTCAAAGGCCGCTGATTATCACGTTACCACGTTTATCATCTTTCCATTTAACCCAACCTAGCATAACTGTCGCAGCACGCTGTGTAAAGGTGGCCTCCGGATGAAACCAAAGTACCGAAATAGGACAATTTTCATAATAGTGGGACTCTTATGTACAAAAAACAATAGGCCTATCGTTCTTGCCCCTAAAGATTGGATGGACAACTGGAAATAGATGAATCTTTTTTCATCTGTAACATGAAGCAATACCCCTTCAAGGTATATCAATTATCAGTTATTTAAGATGGGGATGCCACAATGAGCTAATGTATGGTATTTTGAGTGCTCACATTATCCCTGAAAAAATTTCTGTCATTAGTATTGCTTAATTACATTCTGTTACAGTAAGTAAAACATTTGTTCCAGGTCACAATCGATGCGTGCCACCTGATGTGTTCCCAACTCATGATTCAAAGTACAGCTAAAACCAAAGAAACCTTATCAAATATACTAGCTGATGAAAATAAGATGCCACAACAGACATTGAGGGATTGTAAACTGACAGTAAAAGTTCCTGATAGTTATTTGTTGAATACGTTTTTCAAAACAATTCTTTCTCAGAGTCAACATAGGTTTATGGCTGAGGAGTGGGATAAAATTTCAAGTAAGTGTTTTTTGAGCCTTGCGTCAAAACGTTTTAATGGACAATTTTATACCAAAGAAATTATCAAAAATGATACTAAAAACAAAATTGTTTAGTATTACTTTGGTTATTTATTATAATTTGTATCCTCAATCAGCAGGCTTAGCTGGCAGAAATATGTTGAATGGATTGAAATAACACTAAAAAGAGAATGATGTACAGTAACATACATTTTTCCTCTGTGCGTTTGTCCCTAATATCAACCACTGTATTGCTGGGTAGGAGAGACTCCCGTCGCAAGTAGGCGTTAAATTCCTCAACTCTCCCAAAATTGAATACAAGTTACAAATATGTCAGTGATGTTTTGACGAAGCTTTTATGATTGTTGTATGTGAGCTGTTTTGTCCATTAAGTGATTTATTACTGAACAGGATTTGGATAGTTTGTTGTTAAGTTTGAGTAAGCTGTAATTTCAAAACTTTAGTCTGTTAACCGAAGTAAATGACAAAATATCATGACTACTCATTATTTATGATATGCGCAATATTGTTATTTAAAAAAATGCAAATGATGACAATAATTCCATTAACACAGTTGTGTATTACATTGTTTTTGTGTTTTTGTATTATCTATTCTATTCCATGTTGGATTAACCGTACGTGGTCTCCCAAATCCCAACTACCACGGATAATCAAGGTTCTAGTGTAATAAGGCCACAAAAAATTAAAGAACAATGTTCAGCAGTCATTAAATTTTTTTGGACTTTTAACACCATATGCTACTTAACTTTCCCTGTTCTAACAAGCAAGAATGCTTAAAAAAACGGTTTTTAAATTATTTTAGTATTTTTTCTATATGACTTAAAATGTGCAGCAATATTAACAATAACAATCATTATTTCAGATGGAAAAAAATTTAATGTATCTGCTTGTATATGTGGTGTTCCTGTGCTACTGAAATTAGAAGTGGAATCTAGAGAACTTATAATATCTTCAAGTTGTACCAAACTGTGCCATCAGATAAAAAAAGCTGTAATTGCAAGATTCAAAACGGAAGTAAACAACCACATTCCTGAAAGTTTAACTCTGGATTTACAGGTTAGCAAAATGTTTGTAACCAGTGCTCGATTTGTAAAAAATGAGGTGACAGAACTGTAACCTATTTTAAATCAGATCTGTACCTATTTATGCCAATCGTATTTTTATCTTCCCGAAAGAGAGGTACTTGATCTAAGTTTGGCCGTGTTCGCCCGCAAATCAAGCACTGTTTCTAACTATGCAAAACAATCAAAATAAATTAAGTGAAAAAGTGGGGGAATTTCCTTTTAATGGATTGATTGTGCATTCATCAGTTTTTTATGTCCATCAGGAACAAAAATTCAGAGGCCACTTCTTCTTTATTACTATAGGTACTAAATAGATGGATACCAATACTCATTGATTCTTATAAAAGTGTTATTATTACAGGCTCTTTTTCAAACCTTTGAAATAGAAAGTTTGAAAGAAAACCCGAATATTGAAGCTTTGGATTCACTAAGGAAGAATGTCAGAACATCAACTTCTGCACTGTTTTCTGCATGATTACAACAATTCAATGGTTGATGGATTAAAATGTTAATCTTTATAATAAGGTTGTTAATTTTATTTGCCTGATATTCATGTGGGATAAAACAGGGTTTTCATGGCCTATTGAGCAGGGTTTTTGTTTTATTTGTGTGGAATGACTGAATTAGACTTAATATATTTTTTAACTCTTCTCCAACATTTTTATTTGGTATAGCTTACACCATTTTGTTTTGAAAGACTATTTATAAAACACTCTAAAATAGTTGTATTTCATGTATGAACTCGGTAATTTGATGTTAAAACAGAAAGAAACTGACGCTTAAATGTACATTCCAGAAATCAATCAGCAAAACATTTATTTATGTCAAAATTATAGGAATGCGTTGATCATATTTTTTTTCAAACTACCTTAACCTATTAATTCTGCATGAATTTTCTCACCCCACTGCGGTGGCAAACCTGTAAATTTATCCCAAGATCACATTTTTATTTGTTAAACAACATTACCGTTACAGATATAGTCACTTGTTCACGCTAGTGTTCTGATTAATTCCAGCTACAATTTTGCTGGAATTTCTACTGAACCAATTTTACTTTTCAACACTAGGGGATAAGGATAAACAATTTAACAGTAACATTATCAAATTAACAAACTTTTATTCACATTTGTAAAAATTGTATCAAATAAATAAGTACACACTCTTAAAGCGAACACACGCTGGCTCAATCAAGACTACTTTTGGACCACTGAATAACATCCGTTTGCAAACCAGGATAAGCTTGAATGGCTTTTTGCACCTGATCCTTCCTAAGTATAAAGTTGTACATTTGGTATTCCTTCAACCCACTGCGACCAGCCATACCGCTTACGGGAATAATTAACTCAAGTGCCTGGAACAATACAACAACTTGTAATGGTGTATTAGTTTGATTTTATGTTAGATAGTTTATTGGAGGATAACCAAGATGGTTACAGGTTAGAGTTAAAACTTGTGCAGAGGGAGACCGCTGGGTTCCAATTTTTGGGTCGGGCAAGGCCAACAGTTGACCAACAGTTGACCCTAAGAGATTGGTTGGGACCAGAAATAATTTTCAGGCCAATCTAGAATTGGGTAATTGAAATTAGAAGTCTATGATTTAAGCTTTTATCCTCATGATTGAAGATCGCTCGATCTCAGGAGACGAGGATAATGTCCCAGAAACTGCGTAATATGTTTAACCAATTCCACTGTGATCGCTGGAGACGTAAACAATTTCACTAGAACTGTAGTAGAGGCTCTCGATTTCTCTGCGACCACGGGAGATGTTTTAAGATGATGGAGATGACCACCAAAGATGTTCATGATTCTCTCTCCTGCCGCTCCTGTTCAAAATCCTGATATTATCTTCCGCGGTTATGTAGATATCGTCGTCTCCCAAGGTCACGGAAACATTATCATCGTCATCAGAGATTGTGAAAAAAATCCTGATTATGTCCTGCGGTCAAAGTAAATTCTGAATAACTCCCGCGGATGTATGGCCATCATTGTTATCTCCAGAGGTTACGAAAATGTTATCATCCTCATGCACAATTGCTGAAAAATCCTAAAAATCTTCTGCGGTTGTGTGGTCATCTCTCGCGGTTACTGAAAAGTTATCATTGTCATTCTGTGATCACGGTACAATCCTAAACATCTTCTGGGATCGCGTTAAATTCTGAACATCTCCTGCAGTTGTCTTCTGCGGTAATGGAAATGTTATCATAGTCATCCTATTCGCGGCAAAAGCGTGAATATATTGACTGACGAACTTAGTAATTTTTTTAAAGTCATAGTCTGATATTTAAATACAAATCCCATATATTTCATGGCCAGCACAAAACTAAGTAAAATTCCCGGTTTTTTGTTTGGTAGATACCCGTTTAATGCATTTTTAATAAAATTTGGACAACAAAGAAGTCTCTCATATTTTTCCTAGAAATATGTCTGCACAACTGAAGTTTTTTCCACTACTGTTTCAGGGGATACCTCCTTCCCCTGTCCGGTCCATGAGCACCAGACTTAACTAAAGTCCTTAAATAATACCTAAATAGATAGAAACAAATAGAAATTTCCAATTGAATCAACCTTTTGAGGTCTAAGTGACATCCAGCCACTATAATGCACACAAAAAAAGTAGCATACTATTACCAGTAATGATATGACAAATTTGGTTGTGATATATCTTTCGTTTTAAAGTAATAAAGTCGTCCTAAGACTTAATTGGCACCCTGTATAACTGTAGATTACTTATTTTGCAAACGTAATGAGTGTTGCAAAAGTATCCATCCATTTTTGTACAATTTCTGGCTGATTAAAAAAGAACTAGAAGAGTTCAGGTGTCTGAACAAGAAAGTGCTACACGACTCAGTGGCGGATCCAGGGGGCGAAGGGGGTGACACGACTATAGAATTTAATATGTGTGTGATCAAAGAGAGTGTCTGCATAGTTTGCACGATCGCAAGTGTTATTTAATTTCAGAGTAGTTGTAGTGTACTTTGTACTTAAATACTTTAGTATAAGAATTTTTAGGGATGGTCAAGTCTCGAAATTTCGGGAAATTTTCAATCTCGTTACACGAGACGAGATTACTTTTTGGCCGAGATTTTTATCGAGACGAGAATAAAAAAAAAAAAAAAAAAATAAAAAAAAAAAAAAAAATTAAAAACGCCTGCAGAAAGTCAATGCAATACCCGCAATACAGGAGCGTGTAGTAGTTGCGTTTCCTTTTCGAAGGCGTTCTTATTTAATTAATTCTTTTAATGTAAATATTACTTTAATTCTTTTAATGTAAATATTACTTTCATTATTTTAATAATATTACTTTAATAACATTTGAGAAGTTTTGTTAAGTGTAAGCAGTGTGAGGAATGTTTTATTACTATAAAAAAGTCAAAACAAGTAACTATTTTATAAAAATTAATATTGCTTTTATTTTATGATTTATTTTATTTTAGGATAAGTAGAAATCTATCCTAACTGATATCACCATGTTTCCTAATCGTAGGCATTTTTATTAAGTTAGGCGTGATTAATAAAAAAATGTTATGCTGATGTTATTTAATAAAAGATTGTAAATATTCTTGCCTATTATCATTATTTTAGTATTTAAACAGTCATCTAACAATGTTACAAAATCAGGTAAAAATTTCGAACGTGCATTTCCCGTTGTGTATGAGAAGAGAAATCTCGTCTCGATCTCGTCTCGAAATTTTATGAGAAATAAAAAATCTCGTCTCGTCTCGTCTCGAACTAAAAATCCAATCTCGTCCATCCCTTTTTTCTTAAATAAAATAATTGATTGATATATCACAACAGTTAACAAGTTTTATCCAAGACCTCTAATTTCAAATTATGCTTCAGTTTTATTTATTCCTTTTTCACCAAACATAGGCGAAATACATCCATGGTATGAAACAATTTTTTCCATTATCTTCTTACCTGAATCCTTTCAAATGCTTTAAGTATAACGGATCTTTCGCCTATCTTAACACTATGTGACTGCCTTGCAAAGTTGAGATATCTTTGTAAAATCATCTCAAAGTTGAATGGCACTTCATCATACAGCTCCATTTGATGGCAAATAGCTATCACCTAAAAAAAAAATCATATTACTACAGGAAAGTCTCCAATCGTTAAAAGAACTGTCCTAGTTTGGCAAATAAATTAGCAACTAAAATCTTCTCATATACCTCTTGTAAATGATGTACACTGCACACCAAGTGATTTTTAAAATGTAGAATAATTAAATATTTACGATGATGCAATAGACATGGTCAATAATCATCATACAGCGTGGGGCTGAATGGATTTGGCAGTTTGACTTGTGTAGTACTACGGCTGAGGAGGGGAGAGATGGACATATTGTTGGTATGGTCGCTCACATAATAAATTAGTTTGAACATGGTTTGAACTGGTAAAACATTGAGGTTACGCTGTGTGTGCTTATTTCAAAAACTAGAAATAAAATCAAACATGATATTGAGAGCAACAAAATATGATCGTCGGTTGAAAAGTTTGAAGTGGTTGCACTCTACTCTAAGAACTGAGAAACGCAGACGACGCAAATAAGTGAGCACACCGGAAAATGTTGGGTTTGTCACGGCAGTGTTTGAGTGGTGCCCAAGATTTTCTGACGGGAGGCATGCTATTGCATTAGGAATGTCAGATTGTAGTTTGAGAGTAATTGCGTACTTTCATCTATATAAAATTATGATGGCACAAAAATTAATAGAAAATTATATTGAAAATAAAACGCAGAAACTTGTGATAAATGCTTGCGCAAATTACTTGTGAAGCAGTGTTGTTTAAGAGGTTACAACCAGGCACATTTTCAACTCAATGGGTTGTGACTGTTGTGAGCAAACAAGATTTCCGCTATTGGGCTGAAATCCTGAGCATAATTTGTGAAAGACAATGCATATGAGTTTAGTTCTGTATTGAAACTCAGGAGTTTCAGGTTAGATTTTGTTAAGATAGAGGTCAAAAAGGGTTTACAAATTTTAAAAGTTATGTTACAAGTTTCAATGTGGGAAAACTTGTTCGGGCCCAAACTTGAAAAAAATGCTGAAAAGGGAGAGTTATGGTTTCAACAGTGCAGAGCTGTAGCCACACTACAGAAGCTGAGGACATTGTTTGTTGGGCATTTAATGTCTCGGGATGTGAAATGGTTAGCACATTCCCCTGATTTGAGATACCAGAAGGAGATAGTATTGTTGCGGGCTTAGCAGGTTCTTTACAAATAAAACTTGGCGATTTTATAATAACTATTTATTTACACTAATTATTCTATATTTACAGATATTACAATTACCTAACACCTAACTAACCCTATCTAACCTAGCTAAAGCCTATTCTAATTTACAATGATTCTACTTACAGCTAACCTTTTACAGGATTTATCACTACTTCTGTTACAGCACTGTCACTACACTGTCACTAGTGTCACTACACTGTATCTACACTGTTACTGCCACTAGCACTAGCACTGGTCACTAACACCGACGGGCGCTTGCCGCGACGATTCTCGGAAGGCTCAACTCAACTCAACTGCCGTGTGCCGGAAGACGGTCCCTTATATAAATTTACCGTGGAACATTCTGGAGACCCCTGGTAGCCTAGACAAAGGTGTTTACGCCGTAGAAGTGTAGAAGGTTCTAGGGCCCCTATTGAGGTAGTACGTTGACATGGGTCTATTGTCTATCAGTGGTGCGCTAGGAGAAACCCGTGTAAACAAACAACCCTTTTGAGACGGCGCCTGGCTATTGTTGCGCGGGGCTCCTGACTTGTAACACTACCCCCTCCTTAAGACTGTTCTGTCCCAGAACAGATTTCCCCTGAAGCTTGCGATCTTCTGGTCCACCGGAGGTTCCCCATGGGTTGTATACGCAGACCACAATGTCGATGCCAGTGTCCTCGAAAAGTTCCTGCACCATATTTCTTACAATCTTCCATTCCAATCCGTCATAACCACATCCCAGCCTTGGAATAGCCAGCTTTTTGATTCCAATCCGAAGGAGCTTGTCTCGCAGGTCTTGCAGGCTTTTCTTCAAAGATTCGTAGGACGGCTTCTTGCTAGATGTTTCCTTTGTAACGAGGTAGAACAAATGCTGTCCATTGCGCTTCTTGGGGTTCAACTTGAGATTAGCCATCCGCAGTCGCATAAAGACATTCTCCAGGTTCTTCAGGTGGTCTTCGAAGGATTTGCCTAGGACGATAATGTCATCCAAGTATACCAGGCATGTTTCCCATGACAATCCCCTGAGGACGTTCTCCATGAGCCTTTCAAAAGTAGCAGGGGCATTGCAAAGTCCAAAAGGAAGCACAGTGAATTGGTAAAGTCCTGTCCCAATAGAGAACGCTGTCTTCTCCTTGTCCTCAGGAGCGAGCCCGACCTGCCAGTAGCCACTTCTGAGGTCTAAGGTTGAGAATATCTGACATCCTCCCAGAGTGTCGAGTGTGTCATCAATCCTGGGTAGAGGGTAGCTGTCTTTCTTGGTGACATTGTTGAGATGGCGGTAGTCTACGCAAAATCTTGTTGAGCCGTCTTTCTTTTTCACTAGTACCACAGGTGACACCCAAGGGCTGCTAGAAGGCTCGATGACACCATCCGCTTCCATCTCCTTTATGATTCTCTCGGCTTCGTCACGTTTTGCCAGTGGGAGTCGTCTAGGGGCCTGACGTATGGGTTTTGCATCTCCGGTGTCTATCTTGTGTTGTACTATATTCGTCCTTCCTCTAGGGCCACTTCCGTACTCAAAGACATCTTGCCATCTAGTAATAAAGTCCTTTATTTTTGCACTTTGTTGATGCGTCAGCTCCTGACAGGTGCTCTCCACGAAATCTTCTAGCTCCTTTGGTAATCCATTTGGAGATGGCGGGCATGATTTTAGTTGACGTACCACCGAATTAACAGCCACGCACGTTCCGATCGTTACTCCTCTTTTTATCGTAACAGGAAAACCATTCAAGTTCATCAGTTGCACCGGATTTTCATGTCCTAAGTTAAATAAGGATCTGGCGACAAAGACACCACGTCCAAGCTGGGATTCACTGTCACTTCCTGGCTCCAGAAGAACACTTTGCCCACTAGTCCAATCTCCTTCGACAATAGTTCGGGCGATGACTTGGCTGCGTGCTGGTAGCGTTGTGTCTTCCAGAAGAAGGACGCGTGCAGAGATATCTTTTCCGTGTCGTAGTATGACATCTTCATCTCCGAGAGTCACTAGTCCTCTTGACATGTCCAACTTCAGTCCGTACTTCACCATTATATCGGTTCCCAAAATCACGTCCTCGTCTATGTCGGCAACAAGTGCGCAGTGTTGAAACACGCAGCCACCGATGTGGAAGGTAGCAACCGTCTGCCCATAGACCTGAGCCAGCTGACCTGTAGCTGTACGTAGAGACCACGATGTTGGTGAAATATCTTCCGTCGACACAGTGTTTGGATTCAGGATGGTCATAGTCGCCCCGGTGTCCAGAAGACAGCTTTGGAGACGCCCGTTCACCTTTCCGTCGACGTAGAAACTGCTCGACTGACTTCCCAGTGAAGCAACTTTACCACTTTTCCTCGGGGCTTTCCAATCGCGGGCTGACGGTTGCCCCTTTCCATCAACCCTCCTTAGTTTTCCTGCTTCGGTTCTGATGTGGTCGAAGGACATTTACTCCGGGGATGTCCCATCTGTCCGCAACTCCAACAGCGTATCTGCCGGCGACGAGTTTTTAGTGCCTCCAGCACTCTCTTTACTAGCTCCTCGATGTCCAGTGGAGTTGTAGGTTCTGCGTCTGCCACGCGGACTCGAGCCTGGCCCCTCACCGACTGTCGCACAGCCTCGAACTCCAGTGCCTGTGCCAGTGCGTCACTCAGGGTCTTTGGTCTGGCGAGCTTCACTGCCTGTTGAGTCTCAGGTTCACGTAGACCGTCTAAGAATTTATCCACCGCCAAACTCTCGTAGACATCATCCGTGACCGATGGATAGGCGTTTCTCACCAGGCGAGCAATGTCGGCTTCAAACTCCTGGAGCGACTCGCTGGGCTTCTGGATCCGGTTCCGCAGCTGTGATCGGTAGAGCTGGTCCATATGTCGATGTCCAAAGCGCATGTCCAATCTTCTTACTAATTCTGCGAAATTCTTTCGCTCCGCCATTGGCATAGCATGCAGAACAGCTAATGCATCGCCCCGTAGTGCCAGGCACAGTGCTGAAGCCTTTGTCTCCTCGGTCCACCCATGGACCATAGCCGCTGTCTCGAAGAGAAGCATGTAGTCCTCCCAGGGGGTTTTGCCATCGAAGTGAGGAACTATGTTCTGAGGGGTAACGGCAGCAATGGTAGGTGCTGGCTTGGAGATCGTCTCTGGGGCGTTATCCTGCAGAAGTTCGCCAGTGCTAGCCGATGACGCAGGTGTGAAGCTTCGCGACGAAACCATCTCCTGCCGAAGCTTATCAACTAACCTATCCTCTAAATTTTTCTCTATACAGTTTACTTTCTCATCAATTTCATTCATCCTACTTTCTAAACTATCAACTTTGCTAGAATATTCACCTAATTTGTTCAGCATTTTTAATTCAACATTTGACATTTTTGACTCAATATTAGCCTCTAGGTTTTCTAACGCTTTACTAGTTTCTGACATTTTTGACTCAATATTTGATTCTAGGCTTGACATTTTTGACTCTAATGCTTTGCTATTTTCTGACATTGACTCTAACGTTTTGCTATTTTCTGACATTTTTGCCTCAATATTAGCTTCTAGGTTTTCTAACGTCTTACTACTTTCTGACATTTTTGACTCTAAGTTTTTAAGAATTTTATTGAAATCAGATGTTTCAAATAAAACGTTTTCTGGGTCTTCACCTGCATCAATTAAAGCTTGTTTAAGGCGTGCCTGAAGGGCTGATTTAGTACCACTAGTATCTAGATCTCGTTCTTCTAATTCTCTCCTAAGATCAGCTACTTTTAATTCATCAAGTTTTACACCTTTGAAAGCCATTTTTATGCCAGACAATTAAAATAATTTTACAATAAATGATTTTTTTCCTTTGTAAACAAATTTACGACACAAATTACTAATATGTAACAAAAACCCTGAATCTTACTAATATCTAATACAACTAAAATAAAACTCAATATTTTACAATTAAAATCGCCAAAATAATGCCGCTTTCTGACACCAATTGTTGCGGGCTTAGCAGGTTCTTTACAAATAAAACTTGGCGATTTTATAATAACTATTTATTTACACTAATTATTCTATATTTACAGATATTACAATTACCTAACACCTAACTAACCCTATCTAACCTAGCTAAAGCCTATTCTAATTTACAATGATTCTACTTACAGCTAACCTTTTACAGGATTTATCACTACTTCTGTTACAGCACTGTCACTACACTGTCACTAGTGTCACTACACTGTATCTACACTGTTACTGCCACTAGCACTAGCACTGGTCACTAACACCGACGGGCGCTTGCCGCGACGATTCTCGGAAGGCTCAACTCAACTCAACTGCCGTGTGCCGGAAGACGGTCCCTTATATAAATTTACCGTGGAACATTCTGGAGACCCCTGGTAGCCTAGACAAAGGTGTTTACGCCGTAGAAGTGTAGAAGGTTCTAGGGCCCCTATTGAGGTAGTACGTTGACATGGGTCTATTGTCTATCAGTGGTGCGCTAGGAGAAACCCGTGTAAACAAACAACCCTTTTGAGACGGCGCCTGGCTATTGTTGCGCGGGGCTCCTGACTTGTAACAGTATTAAAACACAGACCCTACATGAGCTCAAAGACCAGATAATTGAAGAAGTCATTAGTCGACAGTCGACACCATTTCACGTGAAATGTGCATTATGAGTTGATAAGAGCTTTGGAGAACGTCTATCAGAGTGTGATGCCGATGGTCATAATTTTTGGGACATTTTTTTACTAAGTAAAAATTAAAAGGTATATTCTTTTTATATAAAAAAATGTATGTATGTTTACCACAACTCATCAATCTCCTAAATCCATTCTTGAATTAGTCTCAATCTCAATCCAAAAACGTTTGAACAGCCCTGGATTTAAAACAATAAAACCGTAAGTTTGTACGAGTTTGCTAATCTGTATGGTATCTTAGGAATTACAATTACCAAGCAAAGTTCTAATGTTGAAAGCCCCTGAAGAATAGACACCTTGTCATCTTGAGACCAGTTCTCATAACATTCCAACACATCTTCAGCAGTTAGTGAAGCGCCTGTGGTATTGGAGACAGACAGTTGGCTTACAAGATACAACTGGAACAAGATCATATACAGATTATAGTAGGTTTTATATAAATGGAAGAAGATGGAGAGGCCTAGTAAATACCCTGACCTGGGGATAACCGGAACGGGAGAGAATATAGCCTATATATATGAATGTGTACATAATATACGGGGTGTTTTTTTCATACTTGCTTCTTTATCTATGTAAAAACTGCAATAGTTAGAAATATGCAGTTTGCGGGAATCATATATTGACTTAGGGGCCACAATTGTGAATTTAATGTAAAGTTCCCATTCACCCCTTTCTCCCCCTACCCTAAACTTAAAATTTTCAAATTGCAAGGTACCCCTTTTGACATATTAAATGTGAGGGCGTGAAAAAATAAAAAGAATGGCGCAAACTAGAGATATCTACGTCAATCATATCAAAAGTTATGGCAGTTGAAAATTTGAAATTTTTGTCCCCCTTTTTAAGAAATTTTTTTTTTAAACAGCCGTTTTTAAAAAAACGGAGCACGAAAACGGTAAGAGCTAGCAAAGATTTGAAAGAATTTCCAGTCAGGAATTAAATTTTCTACAAAACACTCTTAAGCGTTTTCCGAAAATTGCACTCCTTCACCTTCAAAAATCGCTCTAATTCTAAAATTTGTAAAATGTCTCAATTATTTTTAAGTTTTTTTTTATTGAACAAGCATGCCAGCTAGTCACACCTTTGAAAAATGCTCCCACTTTTTCAAAAATAGCCACCATTGTCCAATATGGTGACTTACTTCAATATTTCTGTTGGATACCTTGTATTGTAAGATTTTCTTAGAATGAAAAGTTGGTACTCGTAAACTCGTTTATGAGATACAGTAGTTAGCCTACACCTTGGAAAAAGATGGCTTGCTGTGTGCATCCTGTAGCTCCCAGTAAGTTTGAGTAAGTTTGAATAGGAAAAGCGAAGATTATTTAAGTCTTAAAATTGCATCTACATTCTAAGAAGATCATAAAATAGGCTATGCTCCAGTACTTCTAGAAGAAATTTTTAAGTAATTTAAGTTATGTCCATTAAAAAAGTGGAATCATAGTAGGTGTTTTATTTAACTAGGAACATTTATTAAAATCCCAATTATCACGGACAGCTAGGTCCAGAACCACAAGGACAACTTTGGAACAACTCAGATACTCAGCTATAAGGAGGCTTTTTCTGTGGAAGCACAACCTGTTGTGCCTCTGTGAATACGATACTGCAGTGCTTTGTTTAATTGTTGAAGCAAACTAATAAAACAAAGTTGACGTTTCAAAATAGTCGTATGCTAAGTTATTCTTAGGCTAACCAATGTGATGCTTACCAAAAATGATCTAAATGATTTCTCACTAATATCATGGAATAACAGTTTTTCTACAACTTCTTTCACTTCACTATTGCCACACAAATTGTTGACCGAGGAGTTCCAGTTTTGGACGAATTTATCTTTTCTCCGACCAGATTCACTTTCTATACACAATAATGACTTAAACAACTGCATCCTTTCTATATCTGTTGGAGCAGGAAGCAGAAGAATCGTCCTGTGGGAAAATCGTGACTTGACTCGCTTTTCTAACAACTCAGTGACGTCTATGCGTGTTGTCATTCCCACCACACAAATTGGGGCCTGGAAAAACAAAAGGCAGGGCAATTAGAAAAGTGTTTTGGATTTTAAACAGTTTAACTTACTTGCTCCAGTGGCGCACAGATTGAACTTTGTTCAAAAGTAAATATGTGTGTGTATTAAATACCACATACTACCAAAAAAAAGCAAGAGTGTTTATAAGAATATTGTAAATGTAATGTAAAACCGATTAATCTATAGTACATTTATAAAGTAATATAATGAATCCTACAAATAAAACCATGTACTGCGTGTACATGCCTCATAACCACTAGTAAATGTATGTGCTACTTGTGGTCATGCCCAGTACTGCGTTAGGGAGTTAAAAACTAATTTGAAGACCTTTTTCCTTTGTGGTCTTCTGTAAGAGAAGTCTGGGTACTCACCAAAAACCCATTTACTTCCGAAATGGATACTTTCAAGGCCATTTTTAACTACCTAACCCATTTTTGCACTTTACCCTCACTCATTGCACTAGCACCGTAACCTTTAGTCATCTGGCGATGAATGTTGTCATCAAATATGTTTCTTGAGGTCAAAAAACTACCCACTGTCCTCATCTCGCATGTAGCGGAAGATTCAATAATTAACCTTTCTGTTCATAAATTATGCCAATAAGCGGTTTGGAGCCTTGTTGCGACGAATACCAGAGCTATATGCAAAAACAGCCCTTACTTAAAATAAAATACAACCCTTTAAAGTCTATTTACAAATAAGTTTGGCAGGTGTGGGCCTAAGCAGTCTGTAGGGAAAACGGTTGACCAAGATCTCTCTTCTCAATTGGCTTAAAACTGAATCTACTTGAACGTTCATAAAAACATGCGAGTGGTCTGCAACTCCAGTTCAGTATAGATTTAACAAATGTATTGTACTACCCCACATTTAAACTATAGAGGGTCTAGGCATGAGGGCTCTCTAGTGGGATCATTTCTCTTTATAAATAAACCAAAAGACCTTAGAACATCAGTAAGGTTCTTAGTTTTTAATTTTGATCGCGGTAGTATAATAGCATTTCTCTACTTGGCCCAAGAAAGTCTGAATGTTACCACTAGGTGAATAGTGTTGAATCCCAAATTTGGTTTGTGTGCCACTTGTGGTTATGGCTAATTTTCAAACACAAATACCTAGTAAAGACACTCCAAAATGCCATAATGTAGTGTACAACCACCATTGTAATAGTGACATAGGGTAATAACTAAAAATAGGGTGGTGCACGTCACAGTTCTGGGGATTACGTGTACTACCATTAAGTACACGTCAAGGTTTTCAAAAACTGTAAAAGTCAGGGGATAATTTGTTAAAGGGAACGTTTTAATTGAAGTTATAATGTAAGAAGTAGCTTTGCCTGTGTAGCTTTGTAGGCGTTCACAAACTTAAAATATAAAAAGTTAATATAAAGCTAATACTAAAAAATTTTTGTATTACTGTTATATGAAATGAAATGAAATGAAATGAAAATGAAATGAAATGAAAAATACTTTATTCCACCAAAACACAAAACACAAAAATGGTTACATAGGGTTGTACAAAACAGATGGATTATTCCCCACATAGGCACAGCCTGTGTGTGGGGAATGAGCTTCACCAGTAGTCAAACTTACATATTGATATAAAAATTAATTAATAACTAAAATTATTATTTTACATACTTTGGAAGGGAGTAAGATTGCACATTGAGCTACGGTAATACAAATTAATTTTAAAAAATGTAGGAACCACAATAGGAAATAAAGGCGAAAACAAAACTATACATACTAAACAAACCGCGTACGTATCAACTGAGACTCGGAAACCACACACACACACATACACACACAGACATACACACACAGACAGACAACAGCACACACACAACACACAACACACTTCAGCTCAGTTGCTCAGTTGCACCAGGACATCAGGCGGCTGCTGGCCCCACAGTTCCTTTAGTTAGGCCGTCTCTGCTCTGTCCCTGCATGTCCTATGAACCATTCACTCGCTCCCTCTCACTCACACTCACACGCACGCACATCCACACACAAACATCCCAACCTGACAGTCATTCATCGTTGTATTTACTATGACGGCTTTAGAAGGAATACATGGCCACAAACAAGCTGTTGATATGCCCGCGTCCGAGTTCCACCAACCATTTATTTACGAGTTTTTTATATTTTAACAGACTGCATGGCTCCGGATTTTTTAGCTGAGTGGGTAATTTAGAAAAAATAACTGTTGCAATGTATTGGGGAGACGTTTTATTAATACTTTTAGTGATCTTAGGTAACTCTATCCCAGTGTTCAAAGCAAATCTTGTAGGATAGTTGTGAGAAGTTTGTTTAAAAAGAGAATTTTTGTTTTTGAAAATGTATATAATTAATGATCTTATATAAAGCTGTGAAAGATTAAAAACTCTGAACTCGTCAAAGACATATTCTGAGGGGTAGCGGCGAGGTTTCCGTAGAGCAATTTTTATAATGGCTTTTTGAATAATTTCGATAGGGGCCAGAATACTTTTATAGCCACCACCCCACGCTAGATTCCCAAATTGTAGAATAGACTGTATGTATGCATGGTAAATGTTTTTTAAAAGATCAAGAGGTAAAATTTTGGATATATTAGAAAAAACAAAAATGAATTTACGTAGTTTACATCTAATTTGATTTATGTGACTAGTCCATTTCAGCCGGCTATCAAACATCACCCCTAAATACTTAAACTCATTCACACGTTCAATACTTTCACACTTGTCACATTCAATCTCGGCACCACAACTATGCAATTTTAAATCTAAATCTAAAGGATCATAATCAGATCTTAGTGAAATCGGCATGAATTTTGTTTTTGATAAGTTAACAGTTAGCTTATTCTGGTCGAACCATCGCTTGACAGTGAGAAGGCCGCGCTCGGCGCTGCTGTACACCTCCGGCCAGCTGTCGCCTTGAACAAGAGCGCCGTGTCGTCGGCGTACAGAAAGATCTGCCCTTTGTTTAAGTTAATTTTGCCCAGGTTATTTATGTATATTAAAAATAACAGAGGCCCCAAGGTCGAACCCTGGATAACTCCATAATCAATTCTTTTTTGTGAACTATTTTGGTTTAAAATCGAGACAATTTGGAAACGTTCAGCGAGATAATCTTCAAACCATTTTAAAGTGACGCCTCTCACCCCTATACATTTCAACTTATTAAGAAGTAATCGTCTGTCAACGGTGTCAAAGGCTTTAGCTAAATCTATAAAGACAATCAAGGGTTTTTTGTTTTTACTAATAGAATCATGCAAACTATTAGTTAAAGAAAAAAGGTCATCATTTAAATTTTTGTCCGTACGGAAACCAAACTGTTTATCAAAAAGTAATTGAAAATTTGTTAAGTAGTTTTCGAATTGTTTTCTAACACACTTTTCAATGAGTTTAGCGAGTACACTGGCCAAAGTAATTGGACGATAGTTGATAAATTGATTTTTTTCACCATTCTTAAATATAGGAACTACTTTACCTACTTTTAAAATTTTTGGAAATGTGCCCTGCGAAAAACTGGTATTAATGATATGTAAAAGTGGATATTTCAATTCTTCAAAGTTATTTTTGATAAGTTTTGCCGGAATGTTATCAGCCCCAGGAGCAGACCCCCCTCTCATACCCCGAACGACAGTTGACAGCTCCGCCTCACCCACGGGCGACAGCTGGAAAGTGGTATCCGTCTGGAAATCGTCATCGTTGATTACTGGCTCCAGAACCTGAGGGACACCACGAGCTAGGTTGGCACCTACATCTACGTAGTAGTCATTAAAGGCATCAGCAATTTTTTTTATTGAGTCCTCTTCTAAAGTTTGGTTATCTGGTATAAAATGTTTTACAGGAAAATCGTCCTTTTTTTTATTAAGTCCCATAATTTCTATCATGTTTTTCCAAAGGCGACGTTTGTTATTTAATGAGTCGGATATTTGATCCTTATAGTATTTTTCTTTTGCACTTTTGATTGCAGTATTCAAAGTGTTCCTATAGTTTATGTAATGTAATCTAAGTGCCGGGTTGAAAGGTTGTTTTTTCAACTGTTTACTGATTTTATCCCTAACACGAATAGAATTAACCAGTCCAACAGTGATCCATGGTTTTAATTTGGTTTTTTTGGCAGAAAAACTTTTATTTGAAGTAGCCGCACTTGTGATCTCCTGCAACTGTCGCACAAACTCCTCGCAGGCCACATCGACGTCCTCAGTAGCGAGTACCGAGGACCAGTCATGTGACCGCAACAATCGCTGGGCAACCTCTGAGTCGACACAAGTAAAGCTTTTGTTGGAATATCTGTTTGTTACCTTATAATGATTATAGTCAGCCGATGCAACAGTTATAAAATGGTCGGTTATAGAAGTGTGTATTATTGCTGACTTAACTGTATTTACATGTTTTATGTTGGTAAAAATGTGGTCAATGCAGGTCTTGGAATCAGCTGTAACTCGAGTTGGGCTATTAATGCATGGTGTAAAGCCTGCCGTATAAAGAACGTCAAGATATCTCTGGGACAAAATGTTTTCATTGTTAGGCAGAATACAACAATTGAGGTCACCAACCAGCCAGCACCGCCCGCAAAGGGACCGATCATCCAGATAACTCTCCAGATCGTCGATAAAAGGTTCAAGGTCAGACGACGGGCTCCTATAAACAGCCAACAACGACAGCCCCCCACCGCCAAGCGATATGTCTAATTTGATAGTTGTGGCACCATACAATCGCACTTCCTCACAACTCACAGCAAAGCATTTATTCACATACACAATCACACCATCATTCTGATTCCTTCTAGCCTTACTTACAAACACATCATATCCATCCATACTTACAGGCACACAACTTTCATCCGTCCAAGTCTCAGTTAAAACTATAATATCAAATTTCTTATCATAATTATTTAAAAGAACAATTAACTCATCAAAATTCCTATTGTAGCTCCTAATATTCAGATTAAGAAATAACACACTATTTTGTACATTACAATCCACCTCCTCGAAAAAATTAAAGTTGTTGAAATTATTATAAATAAACTCATTTACTTCTAAAAAATTTTCAACATTTTCTAACTCCTCGCTTTGCATCTTACAGCGAAAAAAGTAAAAATATTATGAAGATTAAAACCCTACCTGCCCGATTTAAAGGAAAGTGGTATAAAATCACTAACTAAATCGTCTTAAACTTAATTATTAATGAAACATTACCAGCAACAGACTTAACTAAATGACAACAAACTGTCTAAAACTGTATAAAGAGCGATCAGATTGCGCTTCGGAACGGTTTTATTTCAATCAAACATAAATACGTATCTTACTTATGAATTGGCTTTACAACAGAAATTGATTATTCTTAAAAACTATTTTGGGATCCATGTTGTGAAATAAAAATACAATTTTAATCCTCTATCATTAAAAATGTCAGATAAGCAGAAAAGATTGTAGACAAAAATACAGTATATATTTAAAAATATTTAAGTAAAATAAAAAGATAGATTAATGATCTATCGGCTTGGCCATACTTTCCAAGAATAAAGTTACAGAAAGTTTAGTGGAGTGAAATTAATTAATAACTACTGTATGAAGATTGACCTAGATATTGATTATTCAAAGATATTTGAGTTTATTGACGTGAATAATGGAAGTTGGTAATTTATAACTTATATAAATCAATAAACATATAAAATAAAATGAAGAGTATATATTAGTAATAAAAATAACATACTTCGAGTCTGCTTACGTTGCCCAAAAAGAGTTTGTCCAGGCCTATAGCAGCACTTCAACTTCACGGAGTTCCGCGTGGTCCCGTCTCTGTTGTTGTCTTCACACCTTCACCACCGCCGTCGTCCTTCGCCCCCGCGACCTCCTCCACCTCGTCCAGGTTCGTCACTCGGATAGCTCGGGAGTCTGCCGTCTTCCGTATAAAGATTTTACCCTCCCGGGTCCAGGCGTAGGTGAGATGTCCTTCTTTCACATGGTTTTTGGCTTGGCCCAGGATGGCTTTATTTCGCACGGTCAGATGTTCGACGACGTAGACTGGTCCAGGAGGCAGTGCTGTAGCCAGGTCTGACGTGTTGATCCTCTTTTGTCTGGCAGCGTCTAACCAGGAGGCACGGATGGACCTTGAGATGAACTGCACCACGATGCTGGGGTAAAACTTCTTTCCTCTCGGAGTAGGGAGTCTGTGGGCCGCAGAGATAGAATCTCGGCTAAAACCGACACCCAAGGCACGTGCTACAGCCTGTAGAACCTTGTAGACGTCCTCTTCTCTCGTTGGTGGGATCCCTCTAATTTCTAAATTATGATTCCTGGAGTATTGCTGCAGTTCGGCTACTTCGCTTTCCAGACAGCTAACCTTATCTCTCAACAATACGTTATCTTTCTTAACATCCTCGCATTCCGCCTTCAAAAGCGCGTTTTCAGATTCGATGTCAGCAATTCTGCACTTTAATTCTTCTTGTGAGGTCTGAAGCGTCTCCAGTTGCTTCTCGATTGTCTCAAAATGTTGCTCCATGTATTTTTTCATTGACACAAGCAGATCTGTCACCTTGGTATCTTCAGTTTCGGACTTGTTGCTGACGGTCGATGTAGTGTCCTGTACACACTCGTCACATTTCCACGCCGACACACTACGTAATGACATCGCGTTCAACTTGGCCACGGTGCGGATGCGACAACACGCCGCGTGAAACACTGCACCACAGTCCACACACTTAATTACGTCTTTTGCGTTCGCGATGTCACGGTTGCACCTAGCGCAGTTCATTGTTGAGGGAAAAAAGAGCCAACACGACGATAAAATAAAACAAACTACAAAGCAAAAATAGGAATATTAAATTTATATTCCTTTCAAGCAGACGAAAAAGAAATACATGTATATTCCAAGCATACGACAGGTTGATACGGGCAGGCAGGCCGAAACACTGACTCACAACGAGGAAACCGGTAGGACGTCCGCTCGCATTGACTAACTGATAAGAACTGAAGTTATCAGCTATTCTCAGCTATCAGAACTGGAAGCTATTCTCTTCCAGCTTCTTCTTTATATTGTTGCATGTCTTCAGTTCTTCTTTTCTGCTGGGGTCTATGGGTCCTAGGCTGGTGAAATCGTTGGCTGTCACTTCCATCCGAACGGCATAATGGTCTACGTCTCTGAGTGATTTTACATTTGCTTCGACTTCAGTAGCTAGTAGTTCGTTTTCGTCCTTCTTCTTCATTGGAAAATTGTACTTCATTCCATAGTTCAGTATTTTCGTTTCTTCTTCACTGAATTGAATGTCTGTAAGGTTGATGACTCTCTTCTGGAATTTGTGTTCTGTATTGGTCCTATCCAAGTCTTCATTAGGTGTATTCTTCTCTACGAGTTTGTCTAATTTGTCGTTTATCCGTAAATATTTCCGGTCCATGGCGTCTTCAACCTCTTCACTGACGACTTCGTGTAGTAAATTCCATGCAATTAGTCCGTATAATCTCAAAAATTGTAGGTGTATGTCGTAGGCAATCTGGTTCAGTTCTTCTTTTTCACAGTAAAGTTGTTTGATCATATTTTTGATGAATAATACCTCTCCTTGTTCCTTGGTTCTTTTAGCGGCAGTGGTGTTACAGTTGACCTTGATTTTAGCGTATTGTGGTGTAATTCTCTTCTTGATACATTCTTTGTTGAAGTAAATATCTGCAATCTTCATGGAAATCTTGAAATGAAATGAAATGAAATGAAATGAAATGAAATGAAATGAAATGAAATGAAATGAAATGAAATGAAATGAAATGAAATGAAATGAAATGAAATGAAATGAAATGAAATGAAATGCTTTATTGTCGTTAAAACTGAGTACAAAGTTCATGACAATCGTCAAAAGAAAAAGAAAACAATCAAGATGGCAACTAAAACTAAAACTCTAAACCAAAGTACTCTTCATGTTTATACAGGCAAGCCTGGGTTAGAGTAGTTTTTAAAACATGTTTAAATTTTGAAACACACAGGTTTTTGATGGATGCAGGCAAGAAATTGTACATTTTAACACCTTGGTACTCAAAACTATTTTGAGTGGCTGTATACTTATGCCTTAGTGTAGACAGATTATCTTTAGATCTAGTACAATAGTTGTGAACATCAGATATCTTTTCAAAGTGAGAAATGTTTTCTTTTACATACAACAAACTTGCCAAAACATACAAGGATGGAAATGAGAGAATGTTAAGACTCACGAAAAGGGGCTTACAATGTGTTCTTCTATTCACACTACAAATTAACCTCACCGCCTTCTTTTGTAAAGTAAAAAGCAGCCTGTTAGCATAAAAACTGTTGGCCCACAGTGAGGTACCATAGGACAAATAGCTATGAATGTGGCCATAATATATACAAATAAGGACATCATCTGAAACAGTGGACCTAAGTGCTCTTATCATAAATATGCCTTTTACAATTTTAGATGCTACAAAATCTACATGTGAAAACCACTTCAAGTTTGACTGCAAATGAAAACCCAAAAACTTCAGAGTGTTTACATCATTACCATTACTGCTTAGACTAATAGTCAGGTCCTGAGTCTTATCAGCATTAAGACATAACTTGTTTGCATTACACCAGTCGTTAATAACAGCAGATTTTGTGTCCAATGTGTCTGTAACATCATTCAAAGAGTTACCCCGTACACACAAGGCCAAGTCATCAGCAAAAAGAAAGCTTTTTACAGATAAGTCATTAATATTACAAGGTAAGTCATTTATATACAGTATAAACAGGGTAGGGCCCAATATAGAGCCTTGGGGCACTCCGTGGGGCACTCGAACAGGGCTAGAATAAGTGCCATTTAGATAGACTTTTTGCCATCTGTCACTAAGATAAGATTGAAAAAACCTAACCAAAACAGCATCAAGGTTATAGCAAGAAAGCTTATTCACAAGGAGATCATGAGCCACTGTGTCAAAGGCCTTAGACATGTCGTACGATCTGAACACTATACCACTTTTGGCCTCTAAACTTTGAAAGCAATTTGATATCAGTGCCTGGGTTGCTTGGACAGTGCTGTGTTTGGGCCTAAAGCCAAACTGACTACTTGCTAAAAGGTTACTATCCTCAAGATACTGAGAAAATCTACGATGTACGAGATGTTCCAAGACCTTCGACACTGCAGGGATAATAGATATAGGCCTATAGTTAGCAATGACATTTTTAGGCCCTTTTTTATGGACTGGTATAACCTTAGAAATCTTGAACTTGTTTGGGTAGCAGCCTTGTGTTATACAAAGATTAAATAGGTAAGTCAAAACTTCACTTATGTAACTAGAAGCTAACTTCAAGATGGGGACATTAATTCCGTAAATATCTAAACAAGAGCTATTGTTAAGACTGTTGATGGCTGCATACACCTCTTCTACAGTAAATAGTCCAATCCTAAAAGCATTGTTGTCCTCAATAGTCGGAAGAGCGTTGCAAGAGGTCAAATTTCTAAGATATTGCTCAGGACCATTTGAAGAGGCGGGAACATTACTTCTCAGGTTTTCAACACAGTCGACAAAGTAGGAGTTCAGTCCATCGGCAGTTAGGCAGTCAGGAATAGACAAAGGCTTACTATTACAGTTGCTTATTTCATTAATGATTGACCAGGATGTTTTAGAAATATTACTAGAGTTTAGCAGTAAACTGTTGTTATGGTCAAGTTTGGCTTTCTTGATTTCTTTGCGGTACTGCAACTTTAATGAGTTGTACTTAGTTTTAACTTCAGCAGTCCCTGCTTTACAAAACAAAAAATATAGCCGGTCCAGCTCATTTTTCATATTTACAAGTCCTTGATGATACCACCTTTTGTTAGGTTTGTTGTTAAAAC